ATTAGCTAAGTTCTCCCCAAACGAGCTTGATGGGCCGAATGGCCTCCTCTCGTTTGTAAATTTCTTATGTTCTTATGTTCTTATGTTCTTATTGTTCTCAGAGTTCCAATATCCAAAAGACACACTGATATAATTGTAATCAGTGAGACACATGCATACTTGCATGCTAAAAAATATACAAAGCACACGAACAGGGACAGTGCATGCAGTAGACTAATGGATTTATAACCAGAAGAGCAAGACACACAACATGAAATATGTCCACTGTATGTAGTATTACTGAAATAAATTGCGGGTGACAACGCCTTGTTGTTATAGATGGCAGTAATATCTTAGGGTCAGCAGTGGGAGAAGCTCTTATGCCATTGGGAACTTTAGCAGAATAAAATATGAAGTGTTTATTTATCTTGGCACCAGTAAACACTTGGGAGGGCAGCTTTTGTGGCTCTTACTGTTTCGGGAGTCCCCTTGCCTCTCTGAGAGAATGAGGTTACCCCCCTCCACACACACACACACCCATCTCCGTTGTCCTCAGGCGGCCTGTGATCTGACACACACGCATTCCTTCTGAAAAATTTCTTTTTCTGTGTGGGTGCATATTTCATGAAGCCTTGTCAAGAAGTGACTCTTTTTTTCAAACCAAGAACGGCACTAGATGCTGTGTTCAATACGGATTGTAACGTTCATGCACGAAAATTGAACCAGTATTATTAATTTTTTTTTTATTTTTTATTTTTATATTTTCAGTTTCCATTTCAAAAGTTATGCTTTAGTTAGTTTTCTGTGTGGTTTTATTAGTTTTTGTCGCTATTTATTTAAAATATATATTTCTGAATAGTTTTTGTATTGTAGCGCTGAGTGGGGTCAAAGTGACCCCCTCTGTATTTTTCCTCCTTTGGGGTATAGCAGATTTATTTTTTCTCTTTGCTTAAATTATATTCCTGTTAAGGGTTTAGAATAAAAGAGTCTTTTGGAGAATCCAGCTTTATGATGCCTTTGGTACATCCATGCTACAATATATTTTGTTTTGCTTCAGTTTAAGTTTTACTAATTTTATTTCTAGGTATAGAGAGAAAGTTGTGGAGCTGTTTTATATGCCTAATCTTTAGAGAATCCTACATGAATACACAGTGCACATTATGTGCTAGTGTCCTCAAAATGGGCAGAACATGTTCCAGGCACCATTAATGGTTATCGGAAGGCAATATTCTGGATTATATTTCCTCCAATGATTTACATCAAGCAGGAAAGATTACAAAACAAATTACAAAAAAAAAATCAAAACAAATTACTCTGGTTATATAGTATAAAAATGGTAACAGGAAGCATTTTACGTTCGTTGTGATGATAGATGAATTGTTTCATTGGAGTTACCAGACTGTGAATGGTTTGTGTGTGGCCAGTGGTGGGTTGGCACCCCATCCTGGTTTATTCCCAGCCTAATGCCCCTTGTTACCCGGACTGGCCCCGTGGTTTACACCAGTGTTTCCCAATCCAGTCCTCGAGGAACCTGCAGACAGTACACATTTCTGCTCCCCTGTCTTCAGAGGGAGCAAAAATGTGGACTGTCTGGCAGGGAGTGGGGAGGGAGCAAAGACATGGACCGTCTGTGGGTCCCCAAGGACCGGGTTGGAAGACATTGGTTTGGGCCCATAATCAAAGTGCACAGTTTCCTCAAACTTCATTCTTACAGGAAACCTAAATCACACTAGTGTAGTAGGTCAACGTTATGAATTGTTTACAGGCTAATGGGTTTCTGCTAGCAAATGCCATGTCTATCTGCCTTTGTTGCTTTTCTATCAAATCATCTCACATGCGATCACTTACTGTACAAACAACGGCCAACTCTCACGCTGGTGTCCAGGTGAAGCTCGTGCCTCCAGCTCCAAACGATGACCTCGCTTCCCTTAGCGAATTAACTGACAGCAGCCTTCTGTATGAAATGCAAAAGCGCTTCAGCAACAACCAGATCTATGTAAGTATTTTTACTCACACTGATTCATCCCCTTGGTGATATTTACATTACTAAACACTCGGAAGTACCTCTGCTCAGTTTCGCTGATTAAATGTGTCATATATTAATCTGTTCCACCCTTGTATATATGCTCGCTGCCTCATTCCACTTTCCTCTTTGTGTGCATAAAAGAAAATAATAATCTATTGAAGCCACTGCTCCGGGAAGTGGCAGAAACAACATTTCAAAGCACCTTAAGAATGATGAGTCCCACACTGGCCCTTGGACTGGAGGGGAGATTAGTTGCGTTTCTCCTTGAGTTCCATATAAATCAAAATGTCGCAACATAATTCCTTGGCTGCCTTTTCAATTTATCATTTCCTGAATGGGTTAAAAAATAAATGTCTATTATTCTTTGCCAGTAAACATTACTTGTTCTATCTAGCTTAGATTCATTATTTCTTGTAGCTAGTTCTTTATTACCAGGGTAAGCACTATGTGGAACGCAGGTAACTCACTTAACTGACTGTAATTACCCCTGTTAGTTCCTGTGGTACCTACCGTTTTACCTTGATTTAGCTATGAACTGACCTACCCCTAGCTGAGAGCAGAGTTGCACACAGCACATAAAACCACTCACTACTTGTACTGATGTCAGCGTGATAAATCCAGCATGCACAGATGTCCACCAAACCTCTTGGTCTGTTGTATAGTGCAGTATGATGAACAGCTGTGAGGATGTTAGAAGGTCAATCTCACCATGAACTTTGATAAAAATACACAAAAGATGAATAACTGGGTTTGATATTATCCGTTAATTTGCTCTGACCGATTAATTATACCTTGAATACCTTCTTCTCTTTCAGACATATATTGGTCACATTCTTCTGATTCTTAATCCCAACAAAGGTCTCCCCATTTATTCAGCACTGGTAAGTGGCACTTTACGTGGCTTTATTTTGGGGTATGAATACGGTTTCAGGGGCATTTTATGCAGAAATACCCGGTGGAAAATTGATCTTATTATTACTAATTCTCTGTGAGGAGTAATGTAGAAATCTGTCAAATTTATAGCGTGGAATTTTCATTATCTGGGACCAAAAGGACTCCAGTTCAATCCATTCTGTTGTAAAAGTGAAAAATCCAGGCGAAATTGTTTCTCCTGTAATGGAATATATGTAAGATGTGTTCTGGCCTCATCTAGGTAGTTTCATGGCTGCTGAACAGTTTTAAATGAGCCTGCGGAGAGTAGCTGTTCTCTGTAAAGCGAGACCCTGCGATGCGTATCCATAAGCATGAAATTCAGGTGTCATTCCTCAAGTATATCAATTTAACATGGACCCAAGAGTATGGAAACCCGGTGGGGAGCCGTGAATGTGGAATCAGGCAGGTGTCCCTGAGTGCGACACTCTGGTGTGGATTTATGAGTATGAGTGGCCAATGCATATACATTAAATGCACAGGAGCAGCATGTTCTACCACCTGTTCACTTTCTTCTTACAGGAATCTCATGTCTTCCTTTCATACCATCTGCTCATTTTCCACCCGATAACCCAGGTCACCCAGTATTGCATCTGTCCCACACCAGTCCGTACTACTCCTGCTCCCAGTCCGTTACCCAGGGGCTTCCTCTCTGTACCTGGCGTTCCACTCCCTGTGCTTCCTCTGTCGTCATTGCGTGTTCCAGCCAACACTGCTGCTTTGCCTTTGATCCCCCTGCTTCCTTTATGCATCTTACATCAATCAGCATATTCATCGCATTCAGCCCATTTTAATATGCCATATTGTAACTCTGATTCTCTTTACAACCACGTTTCTTTTAAGCCCAACTTTCCTCTAAATGGTCTTTCTAGGTTTAGTGTCTATAGCCTTTTAAGACCTGTTTGCTTTAATCTCTAGCTTTGATTTTGACCCTAAAAGCTTTTACTTTCATGTGGTTCCCTGCACTTCACTGTGCTGTCATCAGGGGCAGCGCTGAGCAGAGTTGTGAATAAATGAGAATATGAAATGTGGTTGGTTGAGCACCATGAGGAAATATGAGATACCGTATCTTACATGTGTTTGTGTACATACCTTTGATCTATTTATAGTGGATTGTTATGCATCATTCAAACTTCAGATTGAAGTTTGAGTGGAAAAGGTTAAAAAAAAACTCTAAAAAACAATGTAAAATACAGCTATGAAACCCTCAAAATGGAAACCTTCATCCACAATATGACACCTGTTCCTGTGTAATGTGCTTCTGCTTTCCATCCTGACAGAATCAATTCTCTCAGGGGCTTCAGGAAAAAATAGCCCCTCTGTGTGAAACATGCCATGCTTCTGAAGTTGCCTATAGAGCTGTGATTACAATCCCCCCCCCCCCCCCCGCCACTACCCAGGTGAGCCAGCTGTACTACCGCCCCAGGGGACATCCCTGCCCCAGCCTGCCCCCCCACATCTTCTCCTCCGCGGAAAGAGCCTTCCGGGCAATGCTGCGGGAAGGACGGCCACAGTGCTTCGTCCTGAGGTGCCCCTCGCTGATCTTCTCACCTTTGCTCTCCACCTCATCTGCATCTGTGTCACCTCATTCCTGGGCTGTCAATAGCGCAGAATCAGCATCAAACTTTCGGGATTGCTTAGTGGGGAACGCTGTCTCCCCGAGCGCCAGGAAAAACATGCACACTCAATAAAAGCTGAGCGTCAGCTGTTGACATACTCACACCTCTGTTTGTTTTGTGTTAAGTAACGTTTGACTTGCAGTGTAATTAGTGCTGTTTCTGTATCTTCTATATATTACCGCAGTGGAGTTTGAGTGTGTTTCCTGCCACAGTCCAAAAACATGCAGCTTAGGTGGCTGATCCACATAAATTTTCCAAAGCACATTCAATAATGTGCTCCCATATATGCAGGTGTGTGTGTGTTGGGGAGGGGGTTATGTTTATATTACATTGTGGGGACTAAATGTTCCCCACGATGCAACAAAAACCTGTTATTTTGATGTTGTGGGGACCCTTTTTCTGTGAGTGCAGAATCCAGTTTTGTTTGGTTACTTATGGATGAGGTTAGGGCGGGCTTAGGGTTAGGGTCGTCAGGGTGGGATTAGAGTTTTCCCAGTAGAAATGAATGGAGTGTCTTGGTTTGCTCTCCATGCCTCCCATAACTAGATCCACATGACCATGACCCTGAAAGAGTTATTTTAGCTGGATTTTTAAACTGCTGAGCAATATATTGCTTATTTTGGTAAATGTGTTCCCTACAGAGATAATACATTATTTACTGTAGGTTCTAGAACACTGGAATATGAAGAAGGTCTAGACGTAGTGAGAGAAGAAGGAAGGCTTCCAGCTCTGGTCACATTTGCATTGTAGGTTACAGAAGAGTACCCCGCCAAAGCAGAGCTGGCCCTACCTTTTCAGGGGCCCTAGGCAAAGCTCCACCCCCCCACCAATAAAACTGATGATTATTTCACTTCCTTCACAACATAGGTAATTCAGGGGCTATAGGCAACAGGTTATTCTGTCTGTAACTAGAGCCAGAGTTTCTCTAGCAAGCCGTCAAGAATTTTGGAAGTCTCTCTTTCCTCCTCTCTTTCAAACTTCTCGTTCTGGCTCTCTCTCTCTCTCTCTCTCCCTCTCTTCCTCATCCTCTTCCTCCAGCGGAGAAAGCGGTTCCGGGAAGACTGTGGCCTCTCAGCATATTGTGCAGCACCTGACTGTCCGCTCCGGCCCCGAGGACTTTGCTCTGGGTCCCCAGATGGAGCATGTGAGTCAGTAACCCTCCCCACCCCCACCCCCACCCCTTTTAACTAGGGGGTTCCCTTGCTCAGCACCAATAATCTGTGTTTGATTTTGTGGTCTTGGATGAAACTGCAGCCAGTCCCAGTGGTGACCACTTTATAAACCTGTAATAAAGTTACAATATGTATTTTCAGAGCAAGCTGTAATGTAACGACTGAGATTTTATAGGTGACTAGTGTTGCATGAGTATACTGAGAGTCCCAAGCAACATGCCCTGCTAATCATGACAACACACTGGGCAAACACGTTCTCATTTTGAAGAAATGAAGCCTATAGTCGGTGTTGCCTCTTCAGCATGTATCTCATAGTGCCTCCTGGTGGTAAATTTGTCTTGCTGTTTTTTTACTTTATATAATATATTTAGTTTTACCCTGGATTTCTTACATATGCTTGTACATGTGTTTTTAATTCCTTCTTTTGGTTGTTACATCAAGTGAGGAGATATATAAAAGGGGTAATTTTTTGGTAGTTTATGTTTGCTTTTTTATTATTTTCAGATAAACTGTATTCTTGAAGCATTCAGTCATGCGAAAACCGAAATGAACGGCAGCTCCAGTCGCTTCATTAAGTTCCTTTCGCTTCAGTACAAGGAGAAGACATTGACTGGAGGTAAATTAAATCTTTTTTATTTAACAAATATTTGAAATGATTATATTACACTATATAGCGGTGGTGTAAGGCACAGCTATGAATAGTAAGGTTTGACTTCCAAATGCATTTGCTTGTTTACTGCCGACACTATTACATGTGTAAACAAACCGGCTTTAGGAGTGACGTCATGACTCAGGGCTGTATCCGCACACCTCCTGGGGGGTGGGGGTGAATCCACATTCCCCCTGTGAGTATGAGTTTGGTTAGGCTAACTGGTGTTTCTGAATCGCCCGTAGTGCCTCTGTGCTCTTTCGCAGTGTTTGTCGACCCAGACAGGTCACACTTTTTGCAAAAATGTGCATATTGTCCAGTAGGGGGCTAGGAGGCTGTACCCCAGCCTTGTAATCTGCGCCACCTAGGATAGGTTCTCTCCTCCCTGCTACCCTAACCTGCATGCTTGGTTATAAGTAGTGTATAGACGAGCTGATTTTGCAAGTCACTAAAATGGCCAATAGGGGGAGCCAAAGCTTAACTTTTTAAAATTTCTTCTAAAACTGCTTCCCTTCCCTGACCAGCAGGAATGCTGTGTAACTCTAATTTACTCTCTGACTCTAAATGACAACTGAATGTAATGAGCTACATATAAAGGAAACAGTCCAAAGCGAAACATATAGCTTTGCATGATGGGCCATCATCGGTTTGGGAGTTGAAAGTCAGTATTGTTAAGTGCCTTCTCTAAGTTATTTGAGCTGTATGTGTGTTTTATTTTAATGCTAATGGCCCTCTGTGTGTTTTCTTTCAGGCAGGCTATATATATACCTCTTTGAGAAGTCACGGCTCATCTCTCCACCACAATATCAGAGAAACTTTAATATCTTCTACCTGATAGCAGAGGGCATGTCCTCAGAGGAGAAGAGCCGTCTCTATCTCAACAGTGTACTCACACACAGGTCAGTACACATATGGTTGTATTCATATCTATGTGGGGATCATCGATTCATTTCCTTTGGAAAAACCCTAATCCCAGCAATGACAACCTTAACCCCCACCCAGTCCTAACCTTAACCTTAAGTAACCAAACAAGTCAAAAGACTTTTGGCATTTTTAGTTTTTTGATTGCATGCAAAAATTTTATTAAATTCAATTTCCCCTTGTAGGGACCAAAAAATGGTTCCCATAACATCAAGATAACAGACTTTTATCACATTGTGGGGGTAATATAAACATAATCCACACACACACACACACACACACACACACACACACACACACACACACACACCAACACACACACACACACACACACACACTCCATTTCCCAGGTGTTTCTTCTCAGACACAGATCTTAAAAGTTTATGACAGATAAACACAAGCTCATTGTGTATTATCAACAGCTTAGTAAAGGTACACCTTAACATGAGAGTACATATACCGCTGGAATATTGCACAACCTTGGTAAATTGTGAGTTGATGAATTGATGCGGCTGCTTGCTAAGTGTCTCAAAACTCTTTATTTCTCTCTCGTTTTTACCTTTTGGTTCATTCATATGAATGTTTCAGCTGTTCCATGAAAAAATACTGTTCTATTCCCGGTTTCTGTATGAATGCTGAGTAGCTGTCTGGGCAAGGAATTTCACACTGACTGCATTTCAGCGGTGACACGATGGCCGCGGGTTCAAAAGTTCACCTGCTGTTCAAGTGTTTGCTTGAGGGTGTTATATAAACATCAGGTACATTTTTGGTGACCTAGATTGGGGACATAGAGATTGGGACAGGGAAATCATGGACAGGGAGATCAAGGACAGGGAGATCAGGACAAGGAGGTCATGGACAGGGAGATCAAGGACAGGGAGATCAGGACAGGGAGATCGGGACACAGAAATCATGGACAGTGAGATCAGGACAGGGAGATCAGGATAGGGAGATCAGGACAGGGAGGTCATGGACAGGGAAATCAGGACAGGGAGATCATGGACAGGGAGATCAGGACAGGGAGATCAGGACAGGGAGATCATGGACAGGGAGATCAAGAACAGGGAGATCAGGACAAGGAGGTCATAGACAGGGAGATCAGGACAGGGAGATCGGGGCACAGAAATCATGGACAGTGAGATCAGGACAGGGAGATCAGGACAGGGAGATCAGGACAGGGAGATCATGGACAGGGAGATCAGGACAGGGAGATCACGGACAGGGAGATCAAGGACAGGGAGATCAGGACAAGGAGGTCATGGACAGGGAGATCAAGGACAGGGAGATCGGGACACAGAAATCATGGACAGTGAGATCATGGACAGGGAGATCAAGGACAGTGAGATCATGGACAAGGAGATCAGGACAGGGAGATCATGGACAGGGAGATCAAGGACAGTGAGATCAGGACAGAGAGATCAAGTACAGAAAGATCGGGATAGGGAGATCAGGACACGGAGGTCATAGACAAGAAGATCAGAACAGGGAGGTCATGGACAGGGAGATCAAGGACAGGGAGATCAGGACACAGAAATCATGGACAGGGAGATCAAGGACAGAGAGATCGGGATAGGGAGATCAGGACAGGGAGATCAGGAGAGGAAGATCGGAACCGGGATGACTCTGAGGCTTCATTAGGGCAGCTTAGCACTTACAGGCTCACACCGGGCCCCTCCCAGCCAGAGGATGGCAGCCTGAATGGGAAGCAGCAGCAGGTGCGGCCCCTTTACTTCCACAGTGGTGCAGGCACCTCAGTCAAGGCTGCAGGAAACCCATCAGAGGCCCACACTAGGCCACAGCAAATAAACGTACACTGCACAGTGGTCAGGCCCCTAGCCAGAAATAAATTTCATGGGGTGTCCCCCAGTAGATTTTGCCAATCGGGGTGGGGGGTACCCACTCGGCAGACTTTGCTGACCAGGGGTGGGGGAGGTAATTTTAGTTCCTGTCCACGTTGCTGATTGTGGTCATGGCCAAACGGTGACCCAGACAGACGTTTACACGCCCGCACGCTTACAGAGGATCACGGGAGATGGCCTTTTCATCCATAATCGCATAGTCAATCTGAGCGGAAAAAAAGAAAGGAAGCAAGAACTCACGCTTCACCGTTCCTGACTCTCCTGGAGACCTCGCCCCAACCTGAGCGCCTGATGTCGGGGTCCGGTGACCCCCTGCTACACCTGATGGCGAGAGTGGCTGCTGACTGCCTCTCTGCTGCTCTGCAGGTACCTGAGTCAGGGCACACCAGGAGACATGGCGGAGGAGGCTGCACCTAGCGAGCAAAGCCGGGAAAGGCTGGCATCCCTGAGACAAGCTCTACAGGGTGTGGGCTTCAGTATCCCGGTGGGTATGGGGGCATGGGGCGTCACTGGGGGAGGGGGGGGCAGCGTGGTCACACACGCACTCACACTCTCCCACCCAATGCGCACATGCGGGATGCACAGACGTCGGCGTGGTTTCGGCCGCTTGCAGTCACGCACAGTCCCACGTGCGCTCGGTCCCACACCCCCATGCTCAGCACGGACCCGCACAGTTAACAAACCCCCCTCTGTCCATGCATATTCCCTGACGGGCACGTTTTGACTGTTGCAGTTGTCTTATGGTTAATATCATTAAAAAAAAATAATAACGGCATAGTTGCTAAGCACCAATTTTCAAAACCACTGGTGCAGACTGTAGCGGTGATCTGACGTGTGATCTTCTGGAGTTGGAAGCCTGTGATTGGGGGTGGGGGGGGGGGTGTTCGACGAGCCTGATTACGCAATGGCCGCCCGCGTTCAGTATTTTTTTCCCTCAGTCAGCACTTAGTGACAGCGAGCGGGCTGAAAAAACACACGCACGGACACCTCCTGCGCGGCGCTCCTTCAGAACACACCAATTACCAGGTGGGCGTGGCATCACCTGCCCCACTACGCTTTGAAGCCCAGGTGCAGAGGTTTCCCGGAGCTGCCCGTCACCTGGGGTTCCCACCCTTCATCACGTGTGAGGGTCATGCAAGGTGTCCTTGGTTTATCTTTTCTGGATATATTCTGTTTCCGTGTGTAGTCACCACAGGTGCTCATTACCAAAGATGCAGGCTGTGGACGCACCTGCTCAAATATGGGCACTGCCTCTGAATTTCACCAGTACTGTAATCCTCTACACAATGTGCCCCGATACCATGAATCCAATGCCCATTCCCTTATTTGATCTTATTTACCCATAATCCTCTCTTCTAGACCCTGGCCATTGCTCCTCACTTGCCATGTCCAGCATTTCCATTTCCACATCTTTCTAATGCTAATGCCTTTACTTGTGGTGTTACCTTTCTTCAGTCAATAATCAGAATAACATTATTTGGTATTTCAGCTTGCAAATGATGATAGACAGACAGTCGTTCTTCTGAGATTTTATTTAACCCTTGTGGAGAACACCTCTCTGTAGTGACCTTGGAATCACCTTCTCATTCAAAATTCTTCAGTGTTATTACCATTAATATCTGTACCTTAGGCTCAGGAAGGCTGCGGGTGGTTTCTGGATGTGGTTTACATTCATTCCATCTTAAACTTTTTTACCCTCTTTGTTCATTACACTAACTGTCGACTTAGACAAATGTTCCTGCTTATCTAAGTTGGATCTCTTCAAATTCCATAAAGCGTCGCCGTAGACGGGAACGTTGAATAATGGGGAATTCCATTACCTGCCCTTCGTTGTGGTCAAGGACATCTGTAGCGATGGGTGGGGGGGGGGCAGGGCGGGAGGCGAGGGTTTCACCTCTCTGTTAAAGGATTATCGTTAAAATGGGATGTCTCACTTTAAGTGCTGAGGTGACACTTGTGTTTTCCAACGGCTTTTTCTGGGGTGATAAATGAGAAGAAGGTTTGTCAGTTGCAAGCAGGTGCAGTGTTGGGGAATTCACTGCGGGGTTGGCAGGGCAGGCCTGTCCTGGATATTGAGGAGACATAACTAGGAGAGGAGACCCGCACGTCTGCCAGATGAAATCCACTTCCATAATCCCAGAGCAGCAAATTATCCTGCCATGGTTCATATACTCTACCTAGTGTACGCAGATGCACCATGACAATGAGAAGCAGGCATTAGATACACACAGATGAGTAGACACTCAGGATACGTATGAACGATGAAATGGTGAACATGAGAGGGCCTTCTGGAGGTCCTGACACCACAGTGACGGAATGTTCTGGAGCCTGGGCTCTGCTGGATGCCTCAGCTCAAACATGATCATGTGCTACTAGTGAAGCCTCTGACCTGCAGCCAGGCCGCGGGGTGTTAACCCTCTCTGGAATCACCTCCAGTGTCCTTATGATCCTAATCTTATCTCATGATCCCATAGCAGGAACAGCCTGGGTGTTCACCAGATCACCTATTAGAAATGCACTTGTTTTTAAATCCACCTGCTGTCTCCTAGTCCAAATCCCTATCATGTCAACATCACGTGGTGTCACGAGGTTTTACCTGTTAGACATTAGCTTTCCCTACCTTTATCTTAACTGGGGGAGGGGGGCAGAGATACGCTGAATCATAGACTTGTGTCATGTGTTTTTAGGATGTGGAGAACCTGTTTGTGCTTCTCTCAGCGATCCTGCACTTAGGGGACCTGTGCTTCACTGGGGCGCCGGATGAGGACGGAGCATCCGTGTTGGATTCCTGCATGCTGGAACGAGGTCAGAGCCATGCAGGGCGGCCGCTGTTCACCCCTCAGGGGTCCCACTGTCTGGTGCTGCGGGTGGCTTGGGATAGGGATGGGGGGGGGGGGGGTCTTGCAGACATGGTCTTTACTCAGCCGCCCTAACATCTCCCGCGGCAGCTGCTCTGAGCAAAAGCTGCCACTCACTCCCGCGGATTTGTGCAGGAAAGCGGTCACATGCTCTCTGGGATGCCTGACTCATTCCACGCGGCATTACTCACAAACCCTGCTAGCTTCAAATAATAATTTATTACTTTATGTAACGCGCCTGCATTACAGTAAGCGCTGACCTGGAAGATGGTAAACAAGTGACATCACAGGCTGCTACGGTGTTGCTCATTCTGTTCCGAGTGGAAACTCACGGGGGCAGCTGTTGCCGGGGCCGCGATAAGTCATCGCCGCTGACGTCCGATAAAGGGGAGGCCGACGGTGATGCAGCCTCACCAACAGGCAGCACTCTGGAAATATTAAATGTTTTTACTAGATTGATAAATAGGCATCGTGAAATCAATCGCCTGTAATTCAGTGCGTTACAGGTAATGGACAGTAGGGGACCACGTTTTGAAGTGTGCAATCTGTTTATGTTCATACGTGGCTCTAAGTAGAGTGTAATTGAAGAACACATTTCTAAAACTCACACAGTCCATGGGATAGTTTAAGGAAATTTAAGGAAAGTTGAATGCTGAATGACATAAGGACTGAGTGAGTTTTGGCTCACAATACTGTCTTAAAAGAAACAAAAAATAGACTGAGGGAGCTTTGGAACTTTGCTCTTGGATTAACATGTTTAATACATAGATGAAAATGGGTAATTAAGGAGCACCTGGAGATGACGAATAGCGAGAGCTAACTCTGAGTGAGTGTCAGAGTCATGGGATTAACATTATCCCTCTCTTCAGTGTCAGACATGCTGCAGGTGAGCCCCGAGGACTTGAGCTCCGCCCTGACATCAGACGTGACATACATTAAAGGTAACCGGCACGTCGCTTCCCCTGTTACGTGGCGCGAGCTGAGCAAACGATGCCCGCGGCGATGGTCTAACACGGGTGGGGGAAAGGAAAAGGAGAAGTGGACGAATTCACCGAAGCCATGAAGCAGCAGGCTAAGAGATTCTCCAGCATCAAACGACCGTCAGCCTGAGTTGATGCAGAAAGATCCATACAGACATCTGCACCAAAACAGATCACTCCTCTTTCCAAGCTCGGCCCCCTCATGAATGATATCAGAATCAAAATCAGCTATATTCACCCTGTACAGCCCGGATACAAGCATGATATCAGAATCAAAATCAGCTATATTCACCCTGTACAGCCCGGATACAAGGAATTTGTTATGGTGTAATGGGTCACATTCAAAAAAATAACATGACATAGAGTAGCAGGTAACACAGAGTCATAACCAATTGGCATAAGAATGACAATAAATATGGCACCTAGAGTTAGCAGTATAAAAATTTATAATGATAAATAATAATTAAATAATCACCCATGATCTGTATGTTAGGGGACAGCTGGGGCTTCTCATAGGTGCCGTCAAACGTTTCTGTCACGTTGCCATCTTTGTGACTTTCAGTTGCTTGTACGTTTTATCCTCCTTTTAAGCCCAGACCAGTCTTCCTCTCTTCCTGCCGTCAGCATGCCTGTGACGTTCTTTCTCACTCGTTAGAAGCACCTCTTCTTGCTGAAATGCTCCCCCGTCCTTCACGTGCCTTAATTACGGCCTTATTACCCGCAGTTGAACTTTCCCCTGTGCAAGTGCGATGTAGCCATGGTTACTCGCGTACTCTTTCCGTCCCACCCAGTCGATGTGACGTAACACCTGCAGTAAAGTAACAGCCTATGGAACACGGTGACTCCTTTGGCTGGGTGAGAGTGTGCACTCAGGATCCAGTTTATAAATGCCCATAACACATCTGTACTGCCCAGTGTTTGCTTTGTAAACTTCTGGTTATAAAAAAGGCTGGATTTATTACTTATAGTGCCAACTGCAGGATCTCAGCTTGTGTCAACCAACCTGCATCCTAAAATTGAACGAAATTGCACATCAGTGTTGACGTACTGCCTGCTTATCATTTTTGTTTGATCCTAACAGGGGAATAAGCCGTAATAATCAAGACTTATTTTGATTTGTTGAGAACCTCTATCACCGAGGCCCTGGTGCAGTTCATCCTACTTCACATTTCCTGTTTATCTTCATCCGTTCCCCAGGTGATGTCATCACAAGGCAACACACGGTGGAGATGTCCAGCAGCTACAGGGATTGCCTGGCTAAGTCTTTATACAATCATCTCTTCAACTTCCTGGTGAATATCATCAACCGTCACCTGCAGGATCAAGAGAGGGACAAAAGGTACCAAACAGAAAGGCTGATTTATTCTCCTTTGCCTATGAGAGTACAGACCACGTGCAGTTCAGTCGGCGGAAGTCTACTTTCCTGGTGCGGCTGATGAACCTAAGAGTCATGATGCCAGCCCATAGTCATTGTCATAGAGATTATGGACTGTATGCTCTCTCTGAGAGCGACATTCCCTATCCAGTTGGCATTTCTAGTGAGCCCAAGGAAAATTCCAAGGAGACCGGCAGATGCAGTTGTGGGGAGGCCTGTCTTATTTGTTTGTGTGCATTGGCAGCTCATATAGACAGCTGTCATAAGGGTTAAAGACCTCCATAATCCCATAAGACCCCGGGCACATTTTTATATATCGATAAGCTATTTTGTCGGAACGTTGCGGACTGTTCAGTGCGATGCGTCACGGCCCATGTTAAAATGAATACACAGGATTCCTTACCCCTCTGTCTGTAGACTTAGAAGAGGGCGAGTAAAGTCATTTTCCTTAATGCCTGTTACGCAAAAAGCTAAATGTGAATGCATTACGAATTTGGTTACAGCATTTTTTAAAATAAGAAATAAGAAAAGCTATTAAGCAATGTCTTAAGCTGAATGTGAACAAAGTACACGTGGGGAGAATTAGCTATCAAAATATATTATTATTATTATTACTATTACTATTATTATTATTTACAGCAGGGGTTCCCAAACTTTTCAGCTCACGACCCCCAAAATAACCGTGCCAGTGACTCGTGACCCCCACTATCCTCGGAAGTGGTTAAAATATACAAATGTTGCGCGCAGCGGTGCACATGCGCCAATAGACCTATATCGATCCAAACATGAGCATGACAACACAAAAGAACACAACCATATCATTTTTATGCGATTATTATTTTACAATAATTCATGCACAATATACTTCTGTATCATTATATATGAATGTGTTTAAGTTTAGCATTTTTAAAGAACAAGGACTGGCTACTTCGAACTGATTTTTAATTAACAATTGACACGTTGTGTTTGGTATGATTTGAAGCCATTGGTTTCTGGTGATGCAGAATCTGATATATAGATGTATGATGCTCTGAATCCATGTGCCCCAAGGTAGTGTCTCACGGACTCTCTGTTCTCTCCGCCCTCAGGCTGCGTTTCCCATATCAGCTCCCACCCAATAAATAATAAAGCTGCATTTCTTTCTGACTCATGTGCTGATACTGTTTTAAGTTTTTTTTTTTGCATCCTTCTTTTGCAGTAATTCTGGACTCGAAATTGATATTTTGGACATTTTCGGTTTTGAAGATTTCCAGAAGAATAGTTTTGAACAGGTAAAGACCCCCCTCCCCGAACACTGATTATCCACAGCTGTTCTGTAATTAAATAACCGCAAAAGATCAGAAGGAAAAAAAAAGTAAAGAACTTTTATTTTTTGTCACCCATGTTTTTTCCATCTAATGAACCTTCATTACTTTTAAAAACCTTGTTCAGAAGTGTTGTGATCCGTAATGCTCTCTATGCTCCTCTACTCGTTTTCCTATCGATACTACTTCTGTTCTAATGTTTGAACACCTTTACCATTGTGAGATTCATATCCTTAGTTTCGCTTCTCAGATGGCAGTATTGTCAGTTATGAAATAGTCTACTGTTCTTGTAACCTTAAGCAAGATGATTAACCTGAGCTGCTTCATTAAATTGCCAGTTGTGTAATTGTGCATGAAAGTGTGCAATTCTAAGCCTTCTATATTGCTTTAGGAAGAAGTATCTACTAAACAACCAGGAAACTGCCCCGTGATGGGTTGGCGCCCCATGCTGGGTTGTTCCCTGCCTTGCGCCCATAGCCTCCAGGATGGGCTCTGGCCCCTGCGACCGTGAATAGGACAAACGGTTACACAAAATAGATAGATGTATGGAACCAGGAAGCTATTTAATTAAAAACTGAATCATTATAACCTCCAAACCTCTAAACCTCCAAAATTCTGTGTCTCACCAGCTCAAAATCATCATTTCATCACAGATATATATATAGGAGCACTAAAATATTTTAGCTTGTTTACTACAAACCTACTTTTGAGGTTTTTTCAGCTCGCTGGGTTTGCGATGATTCAAAAGTGTGTGCAGTTCCTTAATCTTTTTTAGTCACCCTGTTTAATTTAATGTCCAGATTAGTGCTCTGTTAGCAATTTCAGCACCACATAAACACACGTTTTTAAAAGCATGTAATTCTGCTCAAACACATCCTACCCAGAAACCTTCACAGCAAAGCCTACGGTTATATTTCTAAGAATTATATCCATAGTCTTCTTTGCAACAAAGCATGTAATTGCGCTTTCGGAAGACGTCTGAGCATTGCCCTGCCTGAGAGACAGACCTTGATGTGGTCTTGACAGCCTGTTGGGAATGTGGTCACCTCCTTCAGTAGGAATGCTCAAGTGCTGAGTGAGTGATTTTTTTTCCCACAGCTGGGCTCGGAGGCTACAAAGAATTTCGCACAGGCCATCTAGGAAATGCACAAACTGTCGGATCTGCTCCACACTCAATAGTGCCTTGCAGACCACACTCAATAGTGCCTTGCAGATACCAGTGGTTTCTTAATTCTTAAGAAGGAACTGTGACTGGTTGGGTCCCTGTGCAAAATAGCCAATCCCTCCCCACTCCCTGCTCACAACCACCTCCCAAAAAACAGAAGAAAAGAGAAACTTGGAGAATATGCACACGATATTTCACTTAGTTCCCAGGAAGTGTCCATGTGCAGAAGACTTAGAGAGTTACTGTCAGTCCTGCCGAGTTGTGGGTGAGTCCCTGTGGAGACCCAGCGCTCTGTGTGCTTTTTTGGATTTTCCTCGGAATAAAAGTGCCTTGCTATGACTTTCACATAAAACCAGAATAAGCAAGAATAAACCCAGATTACATATTCGACTCTTTGTAATTCTGTTCTGAAGTGGAGAGGGAGTCAGTATGTTCTTTGTTTCATCATTTAAATCCACTCTAAGAAGAGCTAGGAGGATGATAAGCTCGGATCCCAGCCCGCAGGGCTGGAGTAGGTGCCTGAGGATACTAGCAGGATCATCATTGCCTTAATTTTTCTTACCGGGGATCTATGGCCTTTTAATCATTTCCTCCCGTGACGTGTATGTTCACCGCGTCTCTCTTTAGCACCCGCTTCCTGTAGCTGAGACACACGATAGTGCTTGTGTGGGTGCTTCCTGAACATCTTACCAGCAGCAGTATGGCAGTGCTCTAAATCACAGGCTGTCTGAAGGAGAGAAATGCTGACACAAGCTCCCCTGTGGATCGCTAAGCAGAGAGAGAGGAGGTGATGTCAATCTCCAAGATGGTTTTGCGTGACTGGTGATGGAGGATTGAATGCCCCCTTCCAAGAACATATAAAAAGCTTAGGACATTTAAAAAGGCCCTTACACTCGCATAAAAAGCAGTGCACCTGAAGTGAGTTCAAAATGTAGTGTTTACTCAATTGGCTGGAATTAGCCAATCATCATGCAACATCAGATTCACCCATGTCTTTGTAGCCTTACTTAACAGTACAAAATCAGTCCCTCATTTAAGACTTGGATCAAGTTTCTTCTCAAAGTTTCTCGAACCATACCCCCTTCCCTGCTCAGTCACTGTTTTATCCTCAATATACCATAATAAGTCACCAGAGAAACACGGACAGATTCAACATGGTTAGGCTATGACAACTTGAGTGGATAAGTGTGAATTTTGCATCATTGGGGAATAACTCAAATAGGTCTTTTTAGTGAGCCGCAGCATTAGTGAACCCAGTCTTTTATGTTAGTGATGGAACCCTTACAACTCTTTCCTGTAGTGGATAAATCCACTCTTTGCATTCATTACCAATGTCCTACACAAACCACCATCTATTGTGTTTCTTACCAATAACCTCTTCACTAACTGGAGTCTATGGTCTTATTAATCCCATCTCAATAGGTAACGCAAGGCTGTAAAGTGTCAATAAAATATATATAAATGATGTAAATGACTTTGGCTAATGGTCAAATATGTATATTTACAGAGAGACCAAATACTATGTTTCGCTTATTAAAGCAGAGACCATAAGTTTATATTAGTAGTTAGGATCTACACCCTTAAGTATGTGCTCATTAGATCCTATATGATGCCTTTCTACTCCATCGAGGGAAATGTGTAAACGATTGCATGTGATTGAGGTGCTAGTTTCTAGTCCATAAAATAAAACAGTGGTTTTGCTGTGTGGTGCAGTGTTTTGCTAAGGAATAACTATCCTGGTTTTCTGTGAAATTTGAAGAAAAAGAAAAACGAGTGGCTGTAGGTGATGGGGGGATGAGCAGATGAAGCTGGAGGTGTCACTGTTGGGATGTTTCATCAGAACCTGTAATAGTTGCTGACGTGGGGGACCACGCACGTATTGGAAGAGAGTGTATTCTGAGCAGAAGGCAGACAGACTTGGCAAGCAGTTGCAGGTGTGTGTGTAACACTAAGCTTAACAGCGGGTAACCACTCTAGAGTGCCTTAAGGTCCCAGAGGAGCGGTTGTTTTGAAAAACAAATAAATAAATAGGGGAAGTGTCCTCAGGGGCTTACTCTCCCCCAGACGGGGGACTTTATGTGCACTAATAAAAGCTCCATTACATCACCCCCCCCCCTAAAACTCCCCTCCCTCCTCATTTGTACGTCTCCAATAACCTATAAACATGACAGGGTTGGTAAAGTAACAGCAGGTGAAGTAAGGTTATCCTCCTTGAACACTTAATGATCTCACAAGGCCCAAAGTGGGCTGTGACTGAATAGTGGCTTCCACATAAAACAAAATAGCAATAATGATGTGATTTTTTTGGTCTTTTTTTTTTTACCGAAATTACATGATGGCGGAAACCATTTTGTAAATACTGTTCTGTACTGGTTTGTGGTTATGAGAGAGGTATTAGTTTGTTCTCCTAATGCAGCACCACAGCACACCATAAATCTGTGCTGTAGTGGTCCCAGATGTTATAAGTTTCTTTTTCCCCGACAATTAATGAATAACAAGTAAATGGTGTTTCAGATATTGCGGCGTTAAATTACATACACCATGAAAATACAAGCACCTGCCACAGATTTCAACTGAATAAAATATGCAGAATATCTGTGTTTAGATGGCTGTAAAATGCTTTTTATGTGTTGAAATCTGTGGATTTGTTTCCGATATTTATATTGGGTTTGCAACCGTGTTTAGTTTTGGACTCTCTGAGCTACTGCAATGATTGTGTTTAAAATCTTAAATGTGCAAAATGTCATGGATAAAACCTTGCTTTGATGTTTAAGCTACCAATGTTTAATATTTAATATCAGTGTTTGTGTGTATCTCTATAGCTCTGTGTCAACATGACCGATGAGAAGATCCACCAATATGTGACGGAAGTACTTTTCATGGACGAGCAGAGGGACTGTCTACAGGAAGGAGTTGCTATGGAAACTTCGTACCATCCTCGAAACCAGTCCTCCATTCTAGATTTCTTTTTCCAGGTACTAGAATCGGGAGCACACCAAGAACACTTCTCTTTACTCGCATGACTAAAGATGCAAGAGCATGTCAGTCAGGCTCTGGTCTCACTGATCCTCCACAAACATTATTGTTCTCCACATTTTATATGTCATACGAGGAGAAGTTTTTATCATAGGTCGTTAGTGTTATCATATAAAAGTGCAGGTTTTTAGACATATTTCATGGTTATCATGGGATATAATTTATGAGAAATGACAATTTTATTGCCCTTTTATAGAGGAATGACTCTATAATGCACAATATGAGAGAATTCAGTAACTGCATGCTATATAATGACACAATGATTCCCCTTTATATCTTGGTATGGGCATTGCATGGTCTGGGGGCTCAGGATATAAATTGTCTAAATGTTCTTTATGAGCTCCTGAAGTTCCCATCTCTGTCGATATGGTTAATGCCCGTACGGTACATTCAGGTCATTGTGACCAGGCTGTGACACAGCACTCAGTTATCCACAGGGATGTGAGGGGATTCTTTGTCACCATTTCCTCCACTCTCCCCAGGCACCCCACGGTCTGTTCTCTGTTCTTGATGCGGAGAGTCGCAGCCCCTGTCCAGAGGAGCTGTCTTTCTACAGGAGGCTGCAGGCCAGCCAGGATGCCGGCAGTGCGGCTGGGGTACTCCTGTCCCCCAAAGACAGCAATGGCAACCCTCCAGCGGGGAACCAGGGGCCCACATTCACCGTCACTCACTATGCCGGCACGGTGAGTTCGCTGTGGCTGTCTGCCCCTACCATTCAGACAGCATTGTTTTGAATTGACAGTATTTCACACATATTTCTTATCTTGTCCATTATCAGAGGAACTTATCTTTCACTTATCATAAACTTTTCAAACGCAAAAAGAATGTTTTATATATACAGTCATCCCTTCACATTCAAGAGGGTTAGGGTTAGGGTTTGATTTAGGCTTAGGGTTAGGGTTAGGGTTAGGCTTAGGGTTAGGCGTGGAAGGTCCCTGCAAATGTGTAAATCTGTGAATAATATTAATATTAAAGACGCAGTATGCCCATACACTAACAAATATTAAATAGCAATATTTTTTATATATTGTGATTTTATGTGATCAAATTCATTTTCAGTCTTGTTTATATATTTTTGGTTTGTGCATCTTCTGTGAGTTTCGGAGATCTCTCGCAAGCTCCAAAAATATCCCCATTAAATTTTTCACGGCCAGCTTGCGGATAACCAAAACCGTGAAAGTCGAATTCACAGATCTGGAGGGGTAAAGGTAATTGAATCCATGCTTATATAAGAATCTTTTCTTATTCTTTGAGGAACACATTCCTGACTCTCTTTCTTTGGGCAGAGATGTCCATGTCCACATCAAAATACAGCTTCTGACAGAAGATCTGAAAGGTTTTGGTGCTAAAATATGACATCATAAAACACATGCAAATTACACAGTGTAAAATACGTGCTTTCTGTTTAAATATTAATAATAACGAATTGCAGACATTAGAGCATAGCACAGTAAATCATAGAGTTTTATTACTGTTCCGTGGGTGTTATATCTACTGAGATAGCAATAAAATGCTATGTGCCACAGACTGAATCCTTCAGAAGACCAGGTATGAGTTTTCCAGTTTGTTTTAATAATTATTTATTCTTAAAAAACAGAGTTTTTATTTATTTGATGCACTGTATACGTACATTTTTCAGCAGTAACATTTATCTTGCTCATAGTCTCTCATGCATTTTGGACATCTTGGGGTTGAGTCCTCGGTGCCTCACATTTCTGCTGAGAGCATCAGACTAACTAAGCAGAAATTCCACGTGTGGTGATTGGTTGACAAGCTCCATTCGTATCAGTGAAATCTCGTGCTATGTGAAATATCTCCAGACAGTACCGCAGTAGCTTATATGTGTTCCCATTTTGAGAGACAGAAGCTCTTTAGCTTTTTTGCAGTTCTGCTAGAGGCAATACCTGTTGACTAAATAGTTTACATTGTCTGCTGAGGAGTTTTCCCTGACCACCCATGGTTTTCTGGGCCATGTGTGCGGGCCATAAAAATCCATTTTTCACCATTTTTCTTGACAGCAGAGCTAACTCGCTGGAATGGTACTACAGTACACTTTTCAGTGAGGTATTTTACCAGCAGTCAGCAATTCCCATAAAACATCTAGTGTCATAAATATATGTGTGTTGGCACAGTCACAAAATAATAATGGGTTTTATTTATATACAAATATGTATATAAATATTATAAATGTATATTACTATATGTATATAAATCTCTCTCTGTTTAGTCAGTGCTACCCAGTTCTGTTTTAATAGCTACAAAACCTTGCTAAGAAGTACATTATATCAAAATGTGTTATTTCATGTCTAAAGTGGTGACTTGTTTCCCTACCCTTGGGTGGCTAGACAACCTATGACCTTACAGGATTACTTGAGAGAAACAAGGACAACTTCCCCCAAAGCCTTCTCCTCGTGATGAAATGTAAGTCTTACTTCGCCTCATTCCTCATTTCTTACATCTGAATCTTTTCTTTAAAGTTGTGTAAAAATATAAAACAATTTGGTTAAATGTTTGTCTACAGGCACAAAATTTGTTAGTGTCAGCAACATGCATTGCAAAAAATGCTGATGTGCTACGAGGATTGGGGCACATTCATAATTGTGTCAAAATACTTGCAAACAAGGATAGACGTTAATTGCCCACCATAATTAACATCATAGGGAAGTCAGATTCACTCATTAACAATGTGTGAGGCTTTCTGTCTCACTGGCTCTGTTTTATCGGGTTAGGGTCTTTCACCCTTATGTTTGTTCGGATATTACTTGAAGAATCGAGGAACAGGTGCCGATTTGGAGAATGACGTGGGACAGAGGGAGAGTGTGGCTCGAGATGCGCTAAAAAAAAAAACCATCAATCACATTGATTAACATCATCACAACAATGTTAAGAGGACTTTATGAGCGCACTTCAGCTGGAATATTTATTGCACCATTTTTGTGAGCGAAAGGTCAGTTTAGCTTGGGTGGGATTCAAAGGAATCAGGGTCGGAATAGTCAACACTCCTGTAATTTTGATGTGCAGAGATAATTACCCTGGGCACTTGTTTTAATTAGTGCTAAACATGTATGTCTCAATTTATTTTCTTTCACTGAGTCAATTCATTAACTCCCACACATGACCGATATTTTTGCATCAAACACTGTCCTCCTGAGGGGATTCTATGCAAAGCATCGTTCAAGTTTGCCCATGGAGAAGGGCTCTTTTCGGAAGCTTCCATGGTAGATAAGCCAATTCTCAATGGCCTCGTTGCTGGTAATAGCCATATGATGTGAATTTCCACATGATCTCAGCCTCACATCTGGGCCCATTGTATATCCAGGTTATTCCCCTCTTTTCTCTGGACAGCCAGTGAGAACATCCTCATCAATCAAATGTTCAAGTACAAGATGGCACATACTGGAGTGCTGCTTCCACCATCTGACTGCTTCAAGACTCATGGGCATAAAGCTGGTCAATTTCATCCTCAGCCAACATCGGCGTGTGCGGCCCTGGATGATAAGTACAGGGACATCAGCAAGGTGTGATCTCTTATACACTGCGGTACCCAAAGCCATGTTCTCATTGTAAATGAGTGCGAAAAACACCAGAATCATTTCACTGGACTGCAAAGTCCTTACCGTGACTCAAACAACATCCTTGTAGAATGTAGATTTTTGCCAAAATTAAGCAATTTAGAAGAAAGGCTTGCAAAAATTAAGTAAAATAGTACATGCTTTTTAGAAAAAAATTGTTTTCTATCAGACATTGAACACATAAGTTAAAAGCAAAGTTCTTTTGTTATATATATATAAGAAAAATATATATGTTTTCCAATGTACCCTGTGAAGTTGTATAACAGTGTTTATGAAAGGCTGCTTTGTGCTGGAGTGCAATGCCCATGCTGAGGTTACGAAAGCCCATGACATGTATTGGCACCTCTTGGTCTGCTCAGGGCAGATCAGGACACTTGCCACAGGTGGATAATAAGGTCATTATGTGCGGCTAAAAACAATCAGTGTCAAAGCCTGGTTTCCGCTCTGCCATGGGTACATTTCACATATGACCTGCTGGCAGAACAAATAGCCACGGTCCCTATTTTTAGTCTCCTATCTGATGGAGGTCGCCTTCGAAAGTAGCTTAAATTAGAAACCATTAATCTAGCCATGCTTTCCATTGGTCTTTATCGATCCAGACCCTTCCCTATGAACAGCACAGCTGCCAAATGACAGCATCCTGCTGGACCCACTCCCATTCTCCGAAATACGTTTTTATTATTATTATTATTATTATTATTATTATTTTTGCTTAACGAGTCATGCAAGTGAAGCATGACACATTCCTAGGGATATGAGGGCCGTGCGATGTCATGATGACCGATGGGAAAAAGTCGCTTTATTATTGCCTGAAAAATGTGAGTAATTGGGCTTTTGGTTTTTAATTACATGACAAGTGACTCATTTTGTAAGTGCATTGCTGATGTACACGAATGATTATGATATACATATTTATATAAATGAAATTTAAATATGAAAGCCTTCACTAACGCCAGGGGCACGATGCTGTAGTCATTCTCACTATTATGAAATCAAAAATATCTGGATTGAACCATAATCTCAACTCTCACATTTATAGAATTGTGCCTTTTATGTGCCCAGGACCTTCATATATCACTGGAACAAAAGAATCCTAAGAAAGTTACCCTAACCTTCCTCTCGGTGCTGTGTGTATTTATATTCTGGGAGAGAAGGGGTCTGGTGCTTATGGCAATATATTCAAAAGAGATTCATTATAATCTGATTACAGCTCTTTTCTTTATGAAAAGCAAAATGAGTTTACAGTGTCTAGATAAGGCAGTTAATGAAACCTCCAGATAACCTAAGAACTAAGCTGGAGAATCAGTGCCATAGGAAGCCACTGGTGTGCTCAGGTACCATTTGAATTTCCATTGAGTCAGTTAAGTCTCGATAAGAATTCAATCCTGTGGTCTATTCAGTATGTGTGTAGGTATTTTGAAAGAAGACTGTAAAATGTATAATTTGATACATTGTGCAATATGTACAGAAAACTTGAGCGTAATAAGTCCAAAAGTGTTTATCCTCCCCTTATTAACCAGCCCTATCACCTTCCTTCACAAAATGAGTCTCTTGGTACCACAAATGACTTCCTTTCATCTTCAGGTGTTTAGGAAATTGATGCCATTGTTTCTTTCAACTTGTCTCTTGTCGGAAAGCTGCTGCAGAAGGATGGAACGACCTCCTTACTGCAAAGGCTGGAGGAAAACGGACGCATGACAGTGGCAGCCCAGTTGGCGGTGAGCCCCAGAACTCGGGCCGCACGTCTGTGTCCCTGCTGTCATTGTCAGATTGACCTGGGGGTTGCGACAAGGTAGATGACTGTCTGTCTTCCTCTTTGGACTAGAATTCACTCTCTGAGATCACCAGCAAACTGAAAGGCTGTGCCCCTCACTTCATCCACTGCATCAAACCCAACGACAGCAAACGGCCTGACTTCTTCAACAGCCAATATGTTTCCTCTCAGCTTCAACATGTGGGTGTCCTGGAGATGGTAAAGATGATCCGCTATGGATACCCTGTCCGACTGTCATTCACCAGCTTCCTGGCCCAGTGAGTAGCCTCCCAAAATAATTCAGTGACATGTATAACACTGTAAATCAATGAGCCGAATGTGAGCACAATGTGCTCTCTTCTATTTGGCAAACCCTGTTCCATTTACATTGGCTAAGGGTCATTCATTGACCTGTGATCATCCTTGGGATGCATGAAAACATCAAGGTAACCAGAAACAGCAATGGCAATCCTCCAAGGTGTAATTGTTCAGAAGGGACAGATAGATGGAAAGATAGACAGATGGATGGATGGATGGATGGATGGATGGATGGATGGATAGATAGATAGATAGATAGATGGATGGATGGATGGATGGATGGATGGATGGATGGATAGATAGATAGATAGATAGATAGATAGATAGATAGATAGATAGATAGATAGATGGACGGACGGACGGACGGACGGACGGATGGATGGATGGATGGATGGATGGATGATAGGACCGCTTTGATAAATTATGCTGATTTACATTGTATAATCAGCCGTCTCTGAGAATCAGGCGACTTTTTCCTATTTTACACTTAATGACTTGGACAGTGACCTGACCACTAGTGACCTGATTCTTGACTTGGCCTTCAGGTGGGGTGACTTCACTATAGCACTGGCTCCCAAGCATTAAACGTGTCCCGATTTGTTTTGTCCCCAGTAATTTAGATCAAAGTTGTGACACCGATACTAAGACCCATAGCAGTCAATTGACATTTTTCATTCCTTTTATGTCAAGCATTTGAGTTTTTATTTTCATTTGTTCAAACAGCCCTTTGATTTTTTCAGGGAATGTTAAGTTTTCATGTTTAGTCTAAATCCTGTCCACACATTCTGCTTTCCATTATCCCCAAAAAGAAAAATGTTCCTTAACAAGCTTGTTGGTTGTGGCTCATTTCCCTCGTCACATGTTTCTGTTTGCTGTTCGATATCCTTCTGTAATCATTAGTTTGAAACTTCCCACATACTTCTTTGTAGAGGTCACCAAACTATGTGTCAGTCCAAAAATGCTGTGAAGATGTAGAAGTATGATGTAACTTTCATGAGTGTGATGGTCTGATGTCAGGATAACCTCAGAAAGGTTCAGAGTGACCTGCTTTTGTACTAGGGAGGTTTCGGTTTGATAATGCGGAAAAGCAGCAGAGGAAGTATGCATTTCAATCCCCCTTCTGTCACATTGGCTTTTGGATTGTGATGTTCAGAGTGACAGGAGCTGCAAGCCTAGCTGTTTTTTTCTCTTGTTTTTTGTCAGGTCAACATAACCTAAGATTCTGACCTGGAGCAGCTCAGGAACTCTCATAGCTTATCATATAATCTCTATTTCACCTTCCGTCCAGGTGGAACAGAATACTCTGTTCCGAACATAGGGGTTTGAGCAAATTAACTGAAAGGGCTTCACCAAGCTCATTTTCTCTGAATGTACTGTGATTATGCTGTATGTCACATTGACAGGCACTGAGGTGTCAACGAGGCACTTGCAAAGTGTTGAAAAGATCCTCCTAGTCCTCTCACTCTGTTCTTTTGAACAGCTTGCAGAAATATAGGACAGCTTTCAATACCTTGGTAGATGCAGAAACGGATGAAAGAATTATAGTTCTTCCGTTACTTCTATGGTCTTGGATGACAATCAAAGCAAAAGGATAAAAAGTTGTAGTAAACATCATTAATCTTTTGCCAGTGCTAAAGGAGTGGGTCTGTTCTCTTTTCGAATTTAGAGATAAAATATAGACCACCTTGAGCACATTGTTTCAAACAAGTCTTAAACAGCAGGGATAAAGCCCAACAGAATAGGGTTAGAATGGCAGTTTTCAATTCCCAAAATAGGCGAAGAGGCGGAGCTTTCAATTTACCATCCCAGTCTCTCATACAGCTTGATTGGGTCTCATAAATAGTCCTTATTTTCCCCAGAGATTCCCAGTGCTTGCTGCTCCCATCCTATATTCTTAAATTACGCAAGTTATTTATATTCTGAAATGAACGCACGATGCACTGATAGCTCCTGAGTTTTGTATTCCGACAACATGAGAAGCCAACGCCTTGAGGCACGGAGATGGCATTCCCGATAAGGTTATTCTCCACAAACAACTTGATATGTCCGTATCCATTATCCATTATCCTACTAAGGTCTGCCATCTTTCATAATGCATATACAAATCCCCACAATCGGGCATGGTAAATTGAATGTCTGTTTCCTGTGCTGTTATGTATTTGAATGGTTAACATCACAATGACGTAACGCCCTTGTTAAGGGCTTGGCAGGGACGGTCAGCTGACGGGGAGTAGTTCATGTAAATTCCTCTTTGCGGAGGTCATTTGACATTCATGTGGATTTGCACTGGCTTTTCCAGGAGGTGACTTTCCATTTACTTCTATTCATCTTTCTGGAGCACGTTGCATGTGGAGTTGAAGAAGCCCATGTTTTACATCACAAATGAAGATTAATGAAGTTATTTTTGAAGATTAATATAAGTACATCACAAGGCCTACTGACCCACAGTGGACATTCTTCCTCCTCATCCTAAAATTATATTTGTTTGCAGTGGTATTTTCTCCCCTAATACCCATTCAAACAAGTATATGTATTACGCCAAAGCTAAAATGAATGCTTTGGATGTCTTGTCCTGTCTGTCCTTCCCTTGGTTAAAATAAATTCATGTTTGCTGAATTCATCTCTACAGTACATATCTCTAGAAGACCGACTCTGATATTTCTAAATCATTTATTGCACAATATTTAAAAATCTCTGTAAATGGTTAGGACCTGGCTCATGCATGCCTATGAAGCCACATATGTTACATACAGGACTTAGGTATATCTTATATGCCATAGATTGGGTTACTTTGCAGTAATATGTCAAAACAAATTCACATCAATGTTTTTTTTCTTCATTGTCAAATCATACCCAAGTAAAGCATTTTTGCTTTACAGTAAATATATCACTCAAGGACAACCACTTATGCAGCCTGTTGTGTTTTTTCTGTATTTGAAGGAAAATATTTTCCAGTGACTGAAAGACCACTGTGCTGTTTTCATGTGCTATGTTGAGCTGCTAACTAGTTTGTTATTCAGCTTGAACAAACAGAACAAGTGCTTAGAGTTATAAATCACATTCCTGTCCTAAGTATATTAGCAATGTTTACCTTCCTTTTCCTCGTACCTATGTACTCTTCCATTGAACATGACGCATCAACACAACATGCACTACCAGTCAAAAGTTTTTGCACACCTCAAATTTGTGCCACTTTTCCATTTATTTCATGAACTGCAGATTTGTTATTCATATTAAGCATTGGAAAGTTGAGTGAACAACTATAAATGAAAATTTAAGTCAAATAAAATTTCCTTTATAACATGGAAAGATTCTAGGTTGTCCTTTAACTTTAAATGCACTAGTTAACTGTTTCATCCCATTAAACAGCACTATATAATTTTCCTTGTAGAAAGAATGCCTCAAATTTTCTCTGCCGTTGTTACTGCTAGAGGAGGTTACTTTGATTAGTCAAAGATATGACATTTTTTTTGCCAATAAAGGTACTCAAATGGAGAACATACTGTAAATTTGTTTGTTAGCAAAGTATATTGAGTATATTTTTAGTAAATGCTAAAGGGGTGACATACATATGTAGAAAATCTCAGTGTATGCAAAAACTTTTGACGGGTAATGTATGAAGACTCGTGTATCCGCCCCACTTTCTGTATTTATTTATTCTGTTCTGGTATTTATTTTTCTGTTCCATTTGAAGTCGTGTGTCTGCATTTCAGTACTCTTGGCAACATAGAATTCCCATGTTTCAGCCCTTAATGTCTCGCAGTGCACATTAGCTAGGTGACACTACCTAATGATTAGCGATATCACACTTCCATTTTGAATCTATGCAGGAAGGATTGTCATCGGCTCGATTTTGTTGTTCCCTGCCGTTGCGTTCGCATACTCGTGTACACGCAGAGATAATGCCCTTCTTCGTAAACTGTAGAGGACAAGTCAGGTAAAGCTATACGCAGTTCACAGTTGATCTTTGGAAGAAAGGAAGAAAGTCATTTAAGGTCTATTCATGAGAAGCGTGCTATTTGATATTCTCCGGTAGTTTTGTGGGAAAGGCAGCCTTCTGAAATATAACAGATATATATAATATATTATAGCTAGCTGTCAACTTAACATCATTTGAGTCAATGCTCATGCAGTCTGATGAGTTTAAAGATATCTTCGTTTTCCATAACAAAGTCCAATAAATGACGTTGTTGGACTCTCGTCTGAGAGTCTTCCTCCTTTTGACTCCTGGGGGCAGGGTGGTGGGGTATGCGGTGCACCTTTGCCTCCACAACGCTATTTGGAGTTGGGTTACGAAAAGATCACAAAACAAGTCAGTAACATGCATGCTTGACACTTGATACCGAACACAGTGCATTTCAACACAGGAATACATCTTAAAGAGCTTACGATGCAGTCTAAAAAAAATGTCATCGATATCCCTGTATACTAGTTGTCTGGGTGTACTCCTCACACTGGGACAAATGAGGACTCCTGAAGTTATTTAGGGGAACATGAGGAACTTATCAATATCCCAAATAGAAAATATGAGTTGGTGTCCCTTTAAGAGGTTATTAAAGTCCAAACTAAATTATTTGGTACTAGGAGGAACATGAAGGATGTGGATACACTTTTAATAGCCTCCAGCCCTGTCGTGAATTGAGCCATCAGTCTACTTTCCCTGAGAAATTTAGAGGGAAATAATAGATTTTCAGATAATTAGAATGTAATCTACAAGGTCCTTCTTCTAATGAAAAGCAATATGACATATGTTAATATATGTTAATGGTGGTATAATGGTCTATACACACACACACACACACACACTGAGTGGCCAGTTTATGAAGTACATCTGCTTGTTAACACAAACAACCTGCTTCTCCACACAGCGAATAATGTGTCTGCAACTGAATACATACAGCATAAATACACGATCAAGAGATTTAATTACCATCTGGCTAAGCGTTAGAATGGCTAAGATGCATGATCAAAGCGATTTTGAACATGTGATTGTTGCTGCCAGTTGTGGTGGCGCCAACATGTCAGAAAGAGGTTCATTCCTGGGACTGAAACACAATTAAATGTCTACTTTCCAGAGCATCATGCAATAAACAAACAAACAATCAGTCAGTCAGCAATTGTGAGGGTAAAAACACCTTATCATGAAAGGTCAGAGGACAATGGCCAGACTTGTTAAATACTGTAAATGGTGACAAACGCTAAAATAATAGCTCAGTCCAACAGAGGCATGCCGAATTTGTAATCGTGAAGATGTTCTGGCAGCAAAACTGAGACTTGACTGGTACTACCCAGGTGTACCTAATGAAGTTACCGCTGAGTGTGTATATATGATTTACTTAGTTGTGGAACATTTGCTGGATAATGTGGTATTGTGCGAATTAACAGCACATTTCACGTTCCACTGCTGTGGCTTTATGTTCTCTTATTCAGTATGCAGTATACTATTTGATTCTTATAAACCAGACACTGCTAAGATCTGTTCTGGGTATGGGGGATTCATGTCGGAATCTCGCAGTTATGACGATCCTGGTTTCATCTGGTTCCATCCTATATTTGGCCTCATTATACCTTTAACATTTTAAGACAAGTTAATTGGACGGCCTCCTGTTACACTTGACCTGGAAATATGTTTATAGTTCTAGAATCTCAGAGAAAAATGGTAGAGAGAAGATGGTCACTATCTAGCTCCTCAGAACTATTAGCAGTGTCAAAACACATCTCACATCCAGAATGCTTGATTATTTCATTTAATTGTTCTGTTCTTTTTAGTGCCTTAGTGCGGCGTTTCCCAATCCGGTCCCCGGGACCCTCAAACAGTTCAAGGTTTTGTTGGATGGATAAAAACACGGACTGTCTGGTGGTCCCCGAGGACTGGGTTGAGAAACACTACTTTAGAGATTATCATCCAAAAAGCGAAGAAAGTGAATTAAGAAACACATCGAGAGCTTCAGTTCGGCATAGCAATAAATAATGTCATGTGACTTGTTTATTCGAACTGCTCAGCTGCCCTTTTGTGTGTCGGACCGATTGAGTCTGACAGACACAAAAAGCCTTTGTGAAAATGGTTTCCATTCAAACAGACTGATTTTTTCCTGTGCCACCCTAGATACCAGGATTTGGCTGCCACCATTCTAAAAGACAAGAGAATGTCTTCTGTGGAGAAGTGTCGCCATGTTCTACAGCACTGCAAGCTCCAGGGATGGAAGGTTTGTGACCTTTAACCCTTCTCCCTCCAAAAGATGTACGTTTGGCAGAAGGTCCATCCTTACCCGGAACACTTAGTTTGTGGTTAAATCTTTTTTTTTCTTCATTATTGGTTTTGTTTCTTTTTCATATGTAGGTAAAATGTATACATTTTTACAGGAAAAAAAGTACTAGAAATGATAGAAAATATAGAATAATGACAATTTCAGACTATAAGATCCATATTTTGTAACTCAGGTGGGAGCACTTTTTATCCCCTGTTTAATACAGGGGGTTTTGTAAAATTCACACGCTGATATTCCACTTCTAATGAAATATTTATTTACTGCTGGAGAGTCTGTAAATAATAAAATAAAGTTTTATTTCTTTGGGTTTGAAGAAAAAAAATGGGACCCACCCTAGAGCTGCACTGGCAAAAACACGATGATGTGGTGCAGTAGTGAGTTATCAGTGATCAAGATGTTACAGCGGCTGTGAAGCCCATCCAGCGTATGTCAGGCTGTGGAAGGCATTTCAGTGGCATTCGCCAATGCACCATAAACAGTGACACACTACTTGTTATTGGCACTCGCTTATGCATCTTTCTCCAGAAGCGGTTATCCAGGCTGGCGGGCATTGAAAATTAGCATCACTTTTGTAAATGAGTCACAATGTAGTTAGACTTAGTACAGTTTTCATATTGAAGAGCACTGGCCGGAGATTAGTTCTAAAAAAGCATTAACACAATCAATGTGCAACCTACACACATGAAATTCTTTTTATTTTATGATATGCGAAGCACATTAGATGGGTTTAAACACATGGGATGGTGAATTTAATATGTCATTTAATATGTTGAAACCCGTTGCCTTTTCAGCCCACACATTTGCTTCACACTCTGCAGTTATCGTTGTTATCTAGGGCTCACTCCCTCTGTCCCTGCGAGCGATAAGTCAGCCCTGTGTTTATCTGTGTGTGAGGGCAGCTGGGGAAATCAGTGTCTCATGCTACATGATTGTAATCTCCTTTCTCTTGCTGCAGTAACTGTGCAAAGACTCCCTTCGTAATCCTACCCCTTGTCTTATACACACTCGTGAAGCCGCACAGAAAACAGACACACACTGTCTGTTCCCTCTGTCCAAGCTGTCTGCCAAGCCGACAAACCTTGGCCCAGCAGGATGTCGTCACAGTGAGGGGAAAGAAGATTCCTTACGGTATTACTGGGTTGACCATAGTACCCCCAAGATCCTTCAGCTAAAATAAAGAAAGCTGACGTAAATGCAAGAGAATTTTGAGCATTTCCTTTTTCTGATAAACACCAAATTGGAATGCACTGAAAATATTCAGCATTTGGCATCTCAGGTCCAGAAAATAGAAATCCAGACCAAGATTTTGTTTCTACCAACTTTGCCCAACACTGAAAATATGTTTTCGTTGTTGTTATTATTGTTTTTGATTTCACTTACTCTTTTGCCAGGTATTATACTAATATTCAGCGGCATCCTGTATATATAACGGCGTACATAATACTCTCCGGCTTCCCCCAGGTCTCTGCGGCTCTGGGGCTTTTACAGAAAAGCCCCAGAGAATGTTCTGAGGGCTGCCCTGGGCTCCAGACACGATTCCTTAACCCCAGAAAACCTGCCACACACTTGTATTTGCACACAAGGTCAAATGAGTGGCAGGAAGAAAGACGAATGGGATGTCAAAATGTGAAAGGTGCATGATTGTACAATGGTGTTCGCAACGCCAATTCAGCAGCCTTGGCAGCGCTTGCAGCTAAGGGGCAAAGGGAAAGTGTCGACACAGAGATGGTGTTTCAGGATATAACACCCTCAATTCCTAAGATGCAGGATGCATAAGCATGTCCCTCCTCTGAAGATATTACTGATATCTGAATGTTTTTATCGCTTGGCCTATTGGCTTTCTGTCTCACAGGGCTAGCTAGTAAAGCACATGCCTTGTTCTCATTAACTTTATAATTATGTTTATGGAGTTGACTCTTGGCCAAATGACAGTTCTTTTCTCTGGGACATTTGCACGAGGTAAGTTTCGGTAGAAACAGCACTCTGGTCTCATTTCAAAACTTAGAGAGTGTTGTTTTTTACTTGGAAGTCACATACAAATCAGCACAGGTGTGGCATACAATGGAAATGAGAAATGTGATTGAGAATCTCTCATTAAACTTAATTATGTTCTTGTGAAGTATGCCAGTTTTTTTTTTCCTTTTTGATTTTCTAAATTCAAATGCTGTTTTAGTTGCTATCCATGTTTTCCAGTTTATTTTAGAAGATAAATCATTAGGGCACTGATGGTGTTTCTCCACTTTCCAGATTGGTCAGACCAAGGTGTTCCTGAAGTTCTGGCAAGCCAAGCAGCTTGATGACCAGTGCCACCAGATGCAAAGAAGGATCATAATGTGCCAAAAAGGTACCATCTCTTAATTGATTTTATTTATTTTTTTAATTAAGGACCAATCCAATTACAGTACATACTATCAACTGAAATGCTTTACGGAGCACTGCATCAGTCAGCCTTTTGGTGGCTGCCTCATTAAAGGGAAATTAATGTATTTCTAGCAACGGAATACATAACGATATTCAAACAACGCAATTAAGCATTTCACATGTTAAATATTGCCCTCCGAGGCTTTGGGGTGAATGTAAATGTACTGTATTTACATTATCTGTCACTTTTCCTGTAATATGCACCGCCCTTTTATTCATGCTTTTATTATGCTTTCCATGAAATGGGAAATATTAAACATTGATTAAAATGTCTACTGTAATAGCAAATTGTATGTTTGTGTAGTAAAAATTGTAGAAGCGAATTGGCATGTCTTAGGTGATGTCATAGTGAAAATTAATCGTTATTACTTTTTCATGGATCCACAGTGTTTAACCATTAATATCAATATTGTAGATAGTAATTTCAAATTTCTAAGAACCAGTTTCTTTTACTGTACTGGCTTTTCGCACTGGTTTCTGTGCTCTTCCATTGTATTATGTTATGTAAAGTTATTTAGGAATAGTATTGTGCAGCCAGGTGCATGTTTTCCTGTCTGAAGCATGTAATAACTATGCATGTTGCCATGGCAGTGGTGTGCAGATGGTTCTGTGTCGCTGTGTGATGTGTTTTCTTATGTGCGTTTCATGTAATAACTATGCATGTTGCCATGGCAGTGGTGTGCAGCTGGTTCTGTGCCGCTGTGTGATGTGTTTTCTTATGTGCGTTTCATGTAATAACTATGCATGTTGCCATGGCAGTGGTGCGTGGCTGGCTGGCCCGAAAGCACATGCAGCGCAGGGCACTGGCTCACCAGATGAGCACCGGCGGCTCCCAGAACTTCTCATGCGGGTCAGAGGAGCAGAGCCAGATGGCGTACGACGGCCCCGTTAGCCAGAGCGATGTTGCCCATAAGATCGGTGCCCTTCGCAAGCAGCTTGCCAGCCTGCGCCTTGTGGACCCGCAGGAGTTAGTGGAAAAGGCCAGGGAGATCCACACAAGGTAACTAACCAAACCAAATAAATGAGCAGTCAGCTGATGCTGTGCTTAACTGCATGATGACTGAACACTAGCAATCACCAGTGGACCAGGTCAAGACCTACTCTGAATTTCATTGAATTGAATTTCATTGAATTGAATCGAATCAAATTGAATTGAAACTTTATTTGCCATATACACAGGTACAGTACAGAGCTACAAGTTTTACAAAATGACACATGACAACACACCAGACTATCTCATACAGAAAGACTTCTTCAGTTTTTTTTTCCATAAAATTAAAACAAACTTCAATACACAAAAGGTAACATGTGACTTGGAATCAAAGACACATAAAAAATAACAAGGTGTGTCCAAGACTCCTCTTCCGACCCTGGTGGCTGACATTTTAGAAGAATTAAAGAATAATTGTACACACTTTGTGCCAAGGACTTGTTACTAGACAGCTGACAGTGACACAAGGTGTATAGTATGAAGCCCTAGACCAGGGGCGGGCAATCTTACGCAGAAAGGGCCGGTGTGTACACGGCTTTTTGCTGCAACTCCCTAATTAGAGGACAGATTGACTGAAGAATTCTCACACCTGGTTTTGAACAGCTGACCTAAAGATTACCCCCAAAAACCTGCATACACCCCAGCACTTTGCGGATAGGATTGCCCACCCCAGCCCTTTGCAGATAGGATTGCCCACCCCAGCACTTTGCAGATAGGATTGCCCACCCCAGCACTTTGCGGATAGGATTGCTCACCCCTGCCCTGGACAATATGTCACTGGGCACTACAGGGTACTTCTGTTACACATATTGTTAAGTGGCATCTTTGAATTAGCCCTCCTAAACAACATCTTTTCAGTTGACGGTGCCCTGAAACAATGTGCCACTAAGTTATCTCACCCCCAATCCGACATGTGAGTATCTCGTCTACTCTGACAGTCAGCTGTGTCTGCTTGGGCATTATCAGATGACTGACCCAGATGCAAGTGATAGTTGTTTTTTCCCTCTTGATGCAGTCAGTGGAACACAGTTGCCTGACAAATATTTACTGCTTCCAGGCCAGGACTGTTCACTGTTATATCCTTGAGTATGTGTGTGTGTGTGTGTGTGTGTGTGTGTGCGCGTGTGTGTGTGTGTGTGTGTGTGTGAGAGAGAGAATGTGCATGCATGCGTTGTCCTTTGCTGATCTAAGCACAGATCCTGAACACGCACCCATTTCCTATAAGGGATTAACAGAAGGAACAGAAAGAACCTTCAGTTCGTTTCACAACACAGTCTTTCATTTACTGTAAATATGCCATTGATCTCAAAAGAGAGATAACTAACATAACAATAAGTATACTGTGCAAATGTGGGTATTTAATCCCATCCAATCATTTTTTTAACTGGTACTTTGAAATATGGGCTGTTTCTTGAACGGCATCATTCTAGACAATTAGTTAAAAATTTTCATATATTTATTTTTTGTTGGTTTATTTTCATAATTTGCCCATTGATTGATTCATTGATAATGAACTACATCTTGTTTCTCTGTTACAGTTAAGGTTTCCATGTCAATGCATTTCATCTTTGACATATCACCCTAATTGAACAAACATCATCACATAACATTTAATCTGTTTAATTAATTGTATAATAAGAAGTACAAAACATCGACATATCTATGTTTGTTTCTCTAGTAAGATATTCCTGTTAATTAGCTAGGAGGTGCTTCAGTTTAATGAGGCAGCTGTGCTGGAGAAAATGCAATTAAACATTGGGGTATAAGCAAATTATCCATTGAGTTTCTCTCTTCCATGTCTGTTTTTTGTGGCAAAACAGTGGAGACATCTGCCAAGGCAGCCACAGGATGAACAGGAAGGGGCGGGCAGTGGGGGAGGTGGGGTGACTGTCGTAGGATGTCGGTGGGGTCAGTTGAGGGCAAAATGCCATCAGTGTTGCTCACATATTAATGACCTCAAACATGACAGCGATCTTTCATCCAGACTCACAAAGTTTTTTGTTTTAACCTGGGATCTGAAATCAGAAGCTGATGCGCAGTGGTGTGCAGAGAGCTAAATCAGAGCTGTCCTCTGTCTCTTTTGGTTTAAAAATGACAGATAGTGCTCCTAGATTAAAAGGCAGATATAAAACTAGAGATTGCATGTTACATTACAATAGGAAGTTGATTAAATGAATCAACAATTATTTGATTAATCAATTAATGCAATAAATAAGCTATTTGTGCACAATTCCATATGTTAATTCTGGCACCTAGTTCATGAATTAATGTTTTCGATATCCAATGTACAGTACTAATTTGTGATTTATTTTTAAAGAAAATTTCTTTTCATCTTGCATTCTGGGAGGTGATGCTATGATTATATAATTCCTTGGTAAGACCCCACCTAGAATATTGTGTGCAGGTTTGGTCACCATACCTTAATTAAGAAGGACATTGCTGCCTTGGAAAGGTGCAACGTAGAGCTACAAGAATGATTCCTGGTCTTAGAGGAATGTCTTATGAGGAGAGGTTAGCTGAGCTGAATCTGTTTAGCGTCGCGCAAAGGAGACTAAGGGGGGACATGATCCAGGTATATAAGATTCTAACGGGTCTGGATGCTGTTCAGCCAAATGGCTATTTCAATATTAGTTTAAATACTAAAACTCGTGGCCATAAGTGGAAATTAGCAGAACATTTTAAAATGAATTTGAGGAAGCACTTCTTTACACAGTGTGTAGTTAGAGTATGGAATAGTCTTCCTGGTAGTGTAGCGCAAGCGAAAACCCTGGATTAATTTAAATCAGAGCTAGATAATATTTTAACAACACTGAGCTGAGTTAAGTTCTCCCCAAACGAGCTTGATGGGCCGAATGGCCTCCTCTCTTTGTAAATTTCTTATGTTCTTAATAAGAATATGATTATTGATTATATATGTAATATAAGATCACGAGAAGCAAATGGATGAATATCAAATTCTATATAGAAATTTACCCAAAAAAAATCCATAAACACATCTTCGACAGATATGTTACATCTAGGTCTACGCTAGCTCCTTTGTGGTACGTGGGAGAGAGATTTGTTGTTTATGCAAGATAAAAGAGGAAAAAGGGGGAAAGAGAGATTCAATTATGTGCACATGAACAGTCTCATTGTTGCCATTTTGAATAATGCATATGGGTATTATTTTGCTCTCCCAGGGATGCAAACAAGAGTGTGAAGGTCAACGAAGACAGCACAGAGAGGAGTCGTATTCTGAGGAACTTCTGCTCCAGCTCCGTGCCCCTACCCCTAGCCGTAGACAGCTTGGTACATTCTGCTGCTGGGTTATCAATCAAGCCCCCATCCCAGCAGACAGAAGGAGGGGGAAGCGGCAGTTGCCTGTCATCTCCAAGGAAACAGCCTCCTCCCAAACCAAAGAGAGACCCCAACACCAGGCTGAGCACCTCCATTGAGGCTGCCAGTGCCTCCCTGTCCATCTGTCCCCAGAACGCACTTGACGGTCAGTGTTTGCTAAGGGTATAACATCTAAAACTCTTCCCTTTCCCTCTAGTAACCAGACTGTTGGACATGAAAGAATTTTTTATTTGATGTTTGAGTTGAGTTTTCAGTCAGGTTATCTTTATTTGTACTTCACTGAATGCCCAGCTCAGAATTATATTTAGTAACTGTTATTCTTTTGACTTTACCACAGAGTATTCAAAGCCACGTCCTCACAGTGATGACTACAGCACAACGAAGAAAATCCCTCCGCCTAAGCCAATAAGGAGCCCTAACACAAAACTGACTGGGTCCTTTGAGGAGATACTGTCACCACGTTCTGTTGAAATGAAGCTAGCCTGCCTTTCCAAAGGGTCACAAGGTTTGGGGTTTCCCCAGCAATGGGTCACTGCGGATGGGCTAAGTTATCCCACGGTCAGCCTCAACCATTCCCCGGAGGAAGATGTCTACATTGAGATGCTGGGGAACCCTAGGATCACAGGCTTCTTTGATGCAAACTTCCCTGAGCAGGATGAGGCTGTTTATGAGGAGATGAAGTACTCAAAGCCTGAGGGGGAAACTGTAACAATGACGGCTGCATCAACCACACCGGATGGGCCATCATCCCCAGCAAACACAGGGGTTAAAACTCCAATAGCAGCTGAAACTAGTCCACTCCAGGGCTTGGGGGGCACACTCAACTCCAAAAGTGGGACCAGAGATGTTCCATCCCCCTTTCCTAACTTGCTTCCTCATAGGCCACCACTTTTAATATTCCCTCCACCCCAGGTGCCCTACTCGTCAGCCTTAGATGAGTCCCCTCTCACTCCACTGGAAGTAAAGATGTTGCCCATGCTAGAAACAAACCTGAATTACTCAAGCCAAGGAGATGGGGGCAGCCCCCTGTCACCCAAATGCACTAGGCAGAGAGCTGACTCATTGTCCACCATTGCAGCGATACAGGACAAGTGCGTTACACCTCTCTCACCACCTCTTACATGCCTCCCCCCTGCCAAACTTCCTCCACCTTACAAGACCCCATCTTATGCTCCTTTTCCCTCCGAGACCAGTGTTCCAGTACTGACTCAGATGGCCTCAGCGGCTAATGCTTCTTCTGGGTCTCAGAAAGTCAGGTATGGTTCAGCAGAAGCTCCCCCAGGGATTGGAAAGACCCCCTACTCACCTGTGAAGAAAGCCCACTCAGATTCCAGGCGGGCGCATTCCTGCTGCTCGTCCCCACTGCTCTTCAATCCAAATTATGCCCGCCCCCTCTCTAGCCCCCTGGATGAGCTCTCCACCATCTTCAGCACCCCACGCAGCTTGCTAAGGAAGTCAGCAAACAGCAGGAAGATCCGTGACACTGGTCAGTGAGTTCTACCTTGAATCCTGTGATCAATCTAATTTTTTCAGAAGCAATGCAGTCTGGTGGTTTGGCAGTGATGTTTTGCAAAGTTAAATGATGTTAAATGAGTGTATAAAAAACAATCCTGAGTCATTGACATCATCATTATGGTAGCGGTTTTATGGTAGTATGGTTCTACCGGGCCGTATTTATGAGAGATTCATAGTTTAATACTACCCAGTGATAAAAGAATGTTACAAATGGAGTTAGCCAGTGTTGGCATTTTTGTATAAAACACTTTGTGTACATTTATATAAAACCGAAACTATTTATTTTTGTCTTTGCTTTAGGAAAACCTCCAAATTCTCCAAGGTAGCAAATGAATCAGCACAATAACACTCTGCAATTATTAACCGTGCTGTTTTATTGCCAGTGCTGATATTTCTTGATGTCATCGGCTTTTGAGAGCCATGATGTGCTTACCACTCCTTATCCTTGGGGTTTTGGACTAACTGCTTAAACGTCTACATGCCACACCCAATTATCTCTTCCATTGCTGAATCTCTTCCGTGAACATACAGATTATCTCTTCATTAATTAACTTCCATTGATATTAAGACCCTTTCAACTCTGCTGTTTCTGCCTGGACTCTGCATGTTTAACCCATCATGCTCTGGTTTCCCTTCACAGTTCAAAATTATGTAGTTAGGCTAATTTGTGTCACTAAATCAGCCATAGAGTACAGTTGGGTGTGTCAGTGTATGTGCCCTACAATGGACTGGCATCCCGTTCAAGGTCTACCTCAGCCGTATGCCCTATGCTGCCTGGGATAGGTGCCAGGGTCCGCCCTGCAAGCCCTACCAGGATGAGCAGCTACAAGATGAATGGATGATAGAATATCCCAGAGCACCTGGCAGTAAATGCCAGCATGTAGTTATCCTTTGTCACAGTAGATGGTTTGAACATTAAGTTTCTCTGGGGTTGTAGCTCTGTTAATGAGGGGTTTGGCACAAGTGTGGCAGGCTAGAAGGTGATAAAGGGTCACTTTTGGGTAATCATTACAATTAAACATTTATATGCTATTCCCTCTTATGTCTTATTGAACCATGCGATGTACATATTTGCTAAATGTTGTGTTTTTGTTAAACAGTATGCATTTTTGATTTTGGGGTAGATGCTCCAGTTGTCATTATTTACGGCTGTCTTCTTACGTTTTATGATCCTCTCTAAGATAAGTGAGTATCTGAACAGGACGTACTCTTTGCGGTGAACAATGGGAGAATGGGGACATTGAATGAATTCAGAGTGAGCGGTAATCCGCTAGCAGCAAGGCTGGAACACCAGTGTCTTTACTCCCAAGCTCCCTAGGGTGTTGTTGGGACCGGATCTTATTTGTACTCATCATTCCTATCGTGTTTGAAAGTTCAAAGGAAATAAAGCCAGCAAGAGTGATGCTGAATGAAAAAGAGTAAGAAATTGAGTCTGTGGAAAGATTATTTCAGCTTTGCTGAGCGCTTAGCAGTGTATAAATTTGTGTTTTAGGGTAATACGTCCCTGCAAGTTCATTCTCATCATGTATAGCCTGAGCTGGGGGTAAAGAGGGATCCTCCCTGTCCCCCGCACATTAATAACTCCTTTCCTAAGACGAGATGCAACTGATTCTGATTGATGAGGTTACAGCACCAAATGACACCTTTATGTGTATAACGTACCTACCGTGAATCTGTTTTATGGCTTAACGACAGTGTTTCTGGAGAGCTTGTAGCCTTGAACGTCCTAAAGATTCATTTAAATCATTACTCAGGATGGACCCCTGGTTATGTTGATGAACATCCGCCAAGATGCCCGGGACCATTATGTTACTATAAATGGATAAAATAATTAATTTGTTGAAAACAATTACTCAACTAAAGGACTGTGTGCCAATGGAGACAGGGCCGGCTTTGCTGTTGCTGACGATACAATAACAGTGAGCAGAGCTGCAGTACAGTGGCTTAACTGGATATCCTACTTTCCAACTCCCTTGCAAACCATTACCATTGTTTTTACATGATTTATACCGTAAGGGGAGGGATATGATCCTATTAATGTAGCTGGAAGTAGGTGTCATGCTCCATGTGCAACACCAGCAATGAATTGGCAGGTGTGACGTAGTGTTCCGCTAGTATTGGCAAGAACATCTCAGTCCTACAGTGGTGGGCGATATGAGAAGAGTTAAAATTAGGTCCGTCATTGTGGGGGGCATGTCTGTGGTAATTTGAGTGGTAGACTTTAGAATTGAGAACACTATGGTGTGGGTGTGTGTGTGGTGGGGGGGGGGGGGGGGCATGGGCTGAACCTATTTTTGTAGAATTAACACTCTGCATTCAGACGATAAATGACTTGACTGCCTTCTGTTCATAGGTTTTCATCACATTGAGTTTGTGTTATGGAATTCCGACTGAGCGGGGTTTATATCTCATGTTTCCACAGGATTCAACTCTAACATGAACCAAGCAGGGAGGGTGGATTCTGGCCCCCCCTCCCCATCCCCGCAGCTACAGGACAATAATGCGAACAACCACCCCTTCAGTAGTCCCATCTCCATCGAGAACGGAAACCAATTATGCAATGGTAAGACTAGGCTGTTTACTATATCAAGTAAGACTCAAGTAAAAAATAAGCTTCAAGCCCAACAGAGGCCAAATGAATTATTAAATACAAGTTTAAAACATCAGCAACGGCCTGTCATTCCACTTTGGTTTCCATAATCAGTAGCCTACAGTCACATGGTCACAAAGCATGCCTCAGTTTCATTCACATATAAGACTTCCTGACATTTTATATATTTTCAAACTAAAGAAGAATGGAAGAGAGAAGGTTGATGACAGAATGGTGAATATGGAGGAAGGTGGATGTGGAAACCCTTGTGAAAAAATAGTGCACTAAAGTGTATTAACAGTGTGCTTTGATCACTAAAAGTGTCATAAAAATGCATTCTCTTTACACACATTATTTTTAAAATACACTGACATTAAACATAATTAAGTACACTGAAGCACACTTTAATAAAAGTATGTGTGTAATCAAATACACATTAGTACATTTTTTTAGGGATAAAACACACTTAATAGACTTTGCTGAAAGTGTATTTTTTGTGCTAAGTGTATTTTTTAAGTAAATACTTCAGTACACTATTTTTTCACAAGGGAAGGCATGCATGCTGTAGGTGAAACAAAGCCAATATAGATCCTAATTGAAACACAGTGAAAATGGAGAGATAAAATGAATAAATAAAATAAAAATAAAATGAATATGTGATTAAAGTGAAGACATGGAAATAACTATGGTGTCTCTGGCCCATAGGTAGGTGTTGGAGAAGAAGGACCCTTCCTTCCTAATAAAAGCAAATAGCCAGTTTTGATTGTGAAGACTGTGTGTCATTTGCTCTGTCCGGCTGTAAGTAAGGTTTTCCTGTTTGTGGTGTTACAATACAGGATTGGTGGAAAATGAGAGTCAATTAAACATCCCAGTGTCACTTCAGAGACATGTGGACAGGCATCAGAGTCAGGTAAAACGCATCTGAATTTAACTTTCATTTGTAATCCAATGACCTCATAATACCCCGAAACACCTAAAGTCTTGTAATGAATGGGGAACTTGTTGACGCTGATATTAATTTACAACTAGTCTCTTTCAAATACTAACACGAGAGAGTTTTACATGCAAAGAATATATTATATGGATATGAATTCCCATTTTTTATTCAAAAACATGTGTATTGTGTCAGAATGAGCTATACTGAATGACCCTTTGTCCCAGGTAAGCTGTCTCAATATCCACAAAAATAATTTGCAAAATTACACCTGTCACTCACAGAAATGCCTTGTGGTGATCTAGACTGTGAAACCAGACTCTGCTTTGCTCCATCTCTCCCTGATATGTCCTGAACAGTAGCATTACTTTAATTAGCACAATTTCTGTGCTCTTCTTCATCACATTACCTATTTTTGTTATTTGATCATTGTAAGACCTGCAAAATACCCATTTTGTGTCCATGAGCACCTCATACTGTTACTACATTGTATTTTTCTTTAAAATTTATTTTTATTTTCAAGTTCCAAACTGGAACCGAGATATCTTAGCCACGGCGATATTGATCCATAATAATGATCCACAGTAGACACTCAAAGCTGAACTTACAGGTTAGGTTTTTCCCTGTATCCACTCTGTGCTATATGAGACAGGTAAAGGGCTCATGACTGTATGGGTTCAGGAAGTGATCCAACAATAGGGATGCAAGAACATGGACAAACGATCTGTCTCAGCTGATAAGACACAGTTACCTTCGGCACACATACTGCCTGGGCTTTAAACAAAGCTTTAATTATTTAATTACGCCATGAAATATTCACCAGGACAGAAAAGTCTACCATGGGAATCTAAGCACAGAGCTGCACTGTAACCCAACACTGACCAATTCAGATATGGCTCCACACAGCAGTCCCTAGCAGGCTTGGTTACTGTATCTCAGGCCCGCCTCCCCACACAAAAAAAAAACAGGAACATTTTATTATTATTCATTATTGCAGGATTTTTTTTGCATTTACGAGTGCACAGAAGGATGCAGACACATCCGGACCTATATCACATAACAAGCACAAACCGACCATGCTTAATTTTCAATTGAATTTCTCTCAATCCATATAGGTGAATTCAGAATTGTGTCCACTCAATCTGCTCTTTCCTTCCCCGATTCAGCCTCGCTTTCCCAGTTTATCAGGCAAAACAAAAAAATTGGTCATATACACTCTGACAGTGCAAAAAGAAAATCTCGGTACTCATTCTGTTACACTCCTCTACCTCAGAATTACAGATGAGCAAGTTTCTCAGTGCATTTACTTATAGACAGAGTAGCTGTGATTTTAAAACATTACAAATAATCTGTAACTCAGAACATGCGCAGCATAGATTTGACAGGCTTAATGGTTTCTAAATTGAGCTTCTTAAATTGGACACATATATGTCATCTGTAACTTGCTTCTTGCCAGATGATGCTGGCTTTGCACCAGCTACGTCTGGCTGTCTCACTCTAGTCAAAAGACTAACTTGATCTTTCTGGCTTATTTGCTTTCAGAGGGATCATTTCAGCTTCTCTCCCTTTGGCGAGGGAGCTGCTCTGTGAGGAGGGACTGGAGGGTGGCTGTCGAGGTACGGGAAACTGGCAAAGTCTGGAGAATCTTTATATTAATTCTGTCCTCACTTTTTCAGTGACCTGCTGTAGTCTCATTGGCCTTAATAAAGGTAATGCTCTTTCCACCTTTGTAATGCATTTCAAGCAACAGTTCCCTCTTTTCTGTGGAAATTCATAAATTAGGGTTTCTTGCACATACAGGTTCTGTTTCGTGGTCCAATAAGAGTTTTGCTGTATACAGCCCAGTACCATTAATGTCAGCGAAGCAGAGTTAGCCCGACAGGGCCAAACTTTTAAGTCTAGAAATTAATAATGCATTTGTCTTTTTTGTGAGATGTGGTGAAAGGGAAATTATTGCTGCATCAGCAGTGCATTTTGGGAGCCTTTGACAGAGGTGGAAATTTAGCAATTTAAGGACACAGGCTCAAGGCTGCAGGTATAAACATGACAGGTTGGGAGTAAATTATGATAAAATGTCCAGAATTGTTATGCTCTCAAAAAAAGTAAAGGGCTCATGAATAAATGTTTTTAGGTCAATTCATAATAAATTTGAGTGAATGTTCTGTTTAAAATAAACCAGCTCTTAATTATATTGTCAGTAATTATTAGCATTACTTTTAATGTGTTTAAAATGTGGATTTTCTTTAAAAATGGAATGTGTATGAAAATGTTGCTTTATGCAATATAAAAGCTAAAATTTGCATAGTAGTACTCTTGCTAGAAGCTGAAACCTACAAAACGTGTTAGTTCTAATAAGACTGCAGCTAGTAACACAAATAACAAGCGTAATTCTGAAACCAGGCACTTCCCAACAATAGTTTCTGCACATTTCCCACTGTTTGAAACCTCACCCCCAGGCCTTGATTGTTCCAGGACAGACAGTCATTTCCATGCCCAGATGGCTGCGTTTCTCCTCCAAACGCCCGCGTGGATTTCACTGCATGCTGTCCTCCAAAATACTAGCCTCTGAAAATGACATCTAATTTGGACAAATGTTCAATGGGCACTGGGGTGAAAACGGAAACACTGGAAGCCAGTTTTATCTGGGGGAGTTGGCCACGCACTACTAGCCACGTGAATTCCCACAACCGGGCCCGATGCCCCACCCCCTACACACATACTCACCTCCAAGTTCAGGTACACCACATGGCAACAAACGCTATCCCAGCTCCTGGCGTCAGACAAATACCAGTGTGAAGGAAGTCCAGGAGCCTGGAGCGACTAGTGCTGCCAGCTGACCATGGAGGGCTGGAAAGCCCCCCAGGTATGAGAGCCTGGCCTGGAGGCCAGTGGAGTCCATCCATTTAAGGAGATAAGACTGAGAAATAGATCTATCATGCTGCTCTCTCAGGTCTTCTGTCTAATCTGTCAGTACCACTTGTTTTTAGCAAGTACATGAGGGCAAAATGTGAGGTGAAAATCAGAGAGCTTGCTGAGAAATGGTCATAGGTTGTTGTAACTTCCCCCTGTAACGACAGAACACTCAGGGAAGGTCCAACTGGTTTTATTGGGGAGATCCGAAGCAGAGTCCAAAGAACAAACAGGGTCACAGCCAATATCCGTCCAATCCTAGTAATCAAAGCCAGAGGGAAAACCAAAACCGTAGTCAAGCCAAGTACAGAGAAATCCGAAAGCCAAGAGGTCTGTCCGAAGACGCTGACAGGACACACGGGGAGCAGACACGAGGGAAGATCAGGGCTGGGTCGGACGGGAGCAAGAAGGTTCAGGAGGCGCAGGAAGGAGGAGCAGGGAAAGCCGGGCGAATCTGAGCTGAAACAAAGACAAAGGTAGAAGTCGCTCGGAGACTGCATCACAAACAATACCTCGCACAGAATGATTGTCGTGCGAGGTTTAAGTAGCTACGGGAGCATGTCTCTGATTGCTCGCAGCCGCCGGCGTGACAAAACCCCCCCTCGCGGTCGAATATTGCGCCGAGGTCTGCCACGGGGTTGAGGTCCCGGTTGGCAGGGGTGATCCGCATGAAACTGCGCGATCAGAGAAAGATCTAGTATATCAGAAGCAGGAACCCAACAACGTTCTTCAGGACCATACCCCTCCCAATCAACGAGATACTGTAAACCCCCTATCCGGCGGCGAGAGTCGAGCAGGGATTTCACGGCGAAGGCTTCGCTGTCGGAGGTGGCTCACGAGCATCCGTGGGGGAATGAGCGAGGCTGTAGCGAACCGGCTTGAGGAGAGAGACATGGAAAATGGGGTGAATACGATACAGCCTGGGGAGTAGTAGGCGGTAAGTAACGGGACCAACCCGAGCAGACACCTTGAACGGACCGATGTATTTCGAGCCGAGCTTACAACCTTGGGGCAGTCACAGCTGCTGTGTGGACAGCCAGTCTCGGTCTCCTGGATTGAACACCGGTGCTGGACGCAATCGCCGGTCTGCTTGCGCTTTCATCCGGATGGCCCCCTTAGACAGTTGTCAATGTACGGTATTCCATACCTGTTTGCATCACTGATGCCACTGTTCCATGGCGGGGACGTCAGTGGGAGAGGGAGTCCAGGGGAACAGAGGAGGTTGGTGACCCAGCACACACTGAAAAGGAGTGAGACTTGTAAGGGGATTCACCAGAGAATTCCGGGCATATTCTGCCTATGGCACGTATCGAGACCAGTCCTGGGGCTGGGTGGAACACTTTCCCGACTTCGAGGTTCATTCTTTCGGCTTGTTCGTTGGCCTGGGGATGATAAGCCATGGTGAGACTTACCCGGATGTTCAGTTTAGCACACAGAGCTCGGAATGCTCGGGAGGTGAATTGGGGTCTGCGATCTGACACAATGTCTTCGGGTATGCTGTTCGGGAGCTGTTCCCCGAGTTCTAGGGAAGATGGCAAGTTGGGTAGGGGAATAAGACGACACATTTTTGAGAAACGGTCAACCACGGTTAGGATGGTAGTATTTCCCCGAGAAGGGGAAAGATCCGTAATGAAGTCTACTGCTAAATGGGACCAAGGTTGTGAAGGAACCGGTAGTGGTTAAAGCAATCCCGATGGGGATTGATTAGGTGATTTATTTTGAGCACATACAGGGCAGGATAAGACGTAGAGGGAAGTTTCACATCTCTAGCCGGTCCACTAATAGCGTCTCGCTAAGAGACGGGTAGTGGCTTCTTCCCCGGGATGTCCCGAACTCAGTGAGGTGTGGACCCATTGGAGGGTTGAATTTCTCAGCTGATACAGTACATGCGTGCGACCCAGCGGGCAGTCAGATGGCGGGGCATGCCTTTCGTTGTGCAAGTGGAGCTGATGTTCCAAATCCCACTGGATCGTGCCGACGAAGCAGGTGAGAGGCAGAATCGGGGTTGGATCCTCGGACATCTGGTGATGGGGAAAGCAGCGGGAGAGGGCATCTGCATTTGCATTCTTAGATCCAGGAATGTAGGAAACCTGGAATTCAAACCAGGTAAAAAACAGAGCCCATCTGGCCTGACGGGGGTTGGGGAGCTTAGCGGACTGCAGATATTGCAGGTTGCGATGGTCCATGAGCACCTGAAAGAGGTGTTTAGCCCCCTCTAGCTAATGTCTCCATTCCTCCATGGCATCCTTCATGGATAATAATTAGCAATTTCCCACGTCATAATTACACTCGGCGGGGGACAGATTCCGGGAAAGGAATGCACAGGGGTGAATTTTACCTGACTGCACGTCCTTCTGCGAGATCACGGCTCCGATTCCGACTTCGGAGGCATCTACTTTGACAATGAAGGGCTCCTCAGGATCGGGCTGTCGTAACACCAGAGCTGTGTAGAATCTTTCCTTTAAGTGGGTGAAGGCGTGCGAAGCTGTCTCGGACCAGACAAGTTTTTTCGGTCCCCCTCTGAGTAGGTTAGTCAGGGGGTTGGTTACCGCACTAAAGCCCCGAATGAAGCGACAATAGAAATTGGCGAATCCGAGAAATCTCTGAAGCTCTTTAATGCTATTAGGTTGTGGCCACTCGAGGACAGCTCTGATCTTACCTGGGTCCATAGCCACTTCTCCTGATCAGATCTGATAACCTATAAACTGAATAGATGTACGGTGGAATTCACACTTTTCTCCCTTGATGTAAAGGTGGTGATCGGCTAAACGCTGTAGAACCTGTTGAACGTGGGTGACGTGTTGAGCGAAGTTCTCTGAATAAATTAAGATGTCGTCAATGTAGGTGATAACAAATCTGTTTAACATGTCTTGGAAGATGCTGTTAATGAATGCCTGGAAGATAGACGGACTGTTAGCCAAACCGTACGGCATAACAAGATATTTGTACTGATCAGTAGTTGTTAGAAAAGATGTCTTCCACTCATCTCCCTCTCGGATTCGGATGAGATTGTAGGCGCTCCGCAGATCGAGTTTGGAAAAGATCTTTGCTCGTCATAGTTGCTCGAGTGCCATGGGGATGAGAGGGAGAGGCTCCCGTCATTTCTTTGTAATTGCATTTAGAGCGCGATAATCTATAATAGGGCATAGACCTCCATCCTTCTTTCCTACGAAGAAAAATCCGGCTGCCATGGGAGAGGTGGATGGGCGGATAATACCTTGTTCTAGTGCCTCGGATATGTAAGTTCGCATAACCTCTTCTTCCGATCAAGACAGGGCGTAGAGTCGGCTACGGGGCAGAGTGGTTCCTTCCAGGAGTTTGATAGCACAGTCAGATGGTCGATGTGGGGGGAGACCATAGGCCTTTACTGAAGACCATTTGAAAGTGATGATATTCCTCTGGAATTGCGGAGAGGTCTTCCGGGAGGGGACTTTCTAAGGAAAATACTCAACAGGGGAGAGACATACAGTAGTCGAAACAGGTAGGGGACCACGCTAAGATTTCTCTGGTTTTCCATCCAATTCGAGTATCATGATCCCTTAACCAGGGAAACCACAAGATGATCAGATCTCTAGGGGACAAAATGATTAGAAATCTAATGGTTTTGCTGTGACACAGCCCGATTTTTAAGGTAACTGGACCGGTTTGGGACGTAACCTGACCGGACATCAGGGGATTACCATCAATACCCCAAACACATAAGGGT